CCTCCCCTGGGGTGCGTTCTGACTTGAACTTCGAGGCGAATCCAGCGGTGGCGACGAGGGCCTTCCAGGAGGCCGAAAAATGGGGAAACGGGGCGAGCGTAGCAGTATGGGTACCTCTTCCTCCTCTGAGAGCCCGAGGCGAAGCTGAAGCGAAAGGCCCCCGGCAGCTGCAGCGTCGGGCTCGCGACCACGCCTGGCACGTCGTGCAGCAGGCCGCGCAGGCGCGAGGCGTGCCTGGTCAGGGCTCCCCCCCTCTCGCCGACCGCGCTGTCGTCCTTGCTCACGGTCTCGTCGTCGTCCTGGGGGGGCTCCTCGTTATGGGCTTCCTCTCCTGAGGAGGAAGAGGCGGAGGGGGAGCAGGAGGAGGAGGAGGAGGAGAAGGAGGAGGAGGAGAAGGAGGAGAAGGAGGATCGAGGATCGAGGATCGAGGATGGAGGAGCGAGGATCGAGGATCGAGGAGGAGGTTCGAGGATCGAGGAGGAGGAGTATGCACGCCCCAGAGCATCTACGTACATGGGCGGCAGATGGCTCTCGCTGTGGGCTTCCAGATGCTCCTGGGGATCCCTGGATGTACCTGGATCTGTTCTGGATCTGCCTCGGCTCATCTGGCCTTACCTCGGCTTGCCTGGCGTGATCCCTGAAAGTCGATCGGCGAAAAGTCAACAAGCCCTCGGGGACCTCCCCGGGAGGAGAGAGCGAGGAGGCGGCCACCTTGGCCTCCCGCGTATCCCCCGTCCCTGCTCCTGCGCCGCGCGTCGGGCTGACTGGGCGCTCTGCAAGATAGGAGCGGGCGCATCCCCTCACAACTCGGGCGAAGGAGTGCGCTCCTCCTCCTCCTCAAACTCTTCGCTTCCTGCTCCTCCCCCTCTTTCCCCTCCTCCTCCTCCTTCCCCTCCTCCTCCTCCTCCTCCTCCTGACGCTGAAGGCTGCACCGGCAAGTAATGACTCGCCTTCTCCTCAAAATCCTCCTCCTCCCCTCCCTCCTCCTCCATGCCCGGTCCTTATGGACAACTGCCCCCCGTCGCACACCCAGACGGGTCGGTCGGGCGGGCCAGGCGTCTGGCCACGTATGATCTTGAGACCTGGAAGTTCGCAGCAGCTTCACGGAGACGGAGGGCGGGTCGCTCCGAAAACTGAGCTCTCGCCCCGGCGCCGCGCATGCTCGGCCGGAAAGTTTGCAAACGGCTTCGAGGATGGAGCGCGGGCTGCTCTGGAAATGCGACTCTCGCCTGAGATCCGCGCGCACTCGTGCTCAAACTCTTCAAATTCGCTCCACGGGTATGGGGCTGCTCCATGGCAAGGTGTGGCTCTCGCCCGAGAGCCGCGCAAAAATTCGTTACCAAACAACATATGCAGCAGCTTCACTGGCGGAGGGAAACTGACTGTCAACATGCGGCCCTCGCCTTGGCGCCGTGCACATCCTTGGTAAAAGTTCGCCGCAGCTTCACGGGCCAAGGAGGGCTCCCTGCTCAACATGTGGCTCTCTCCTGATCGCACCGCACATTCGACTGACAAAGTTCGCAGCAGCTTCAAGCATGCAAGAGAATCGTGCTCATCATACTTTATATGGTGTTCGCCTACGCGCCGCGCAAATTCGTGGTCCAAGTTTGCACTCGCTTCACGGATGGAGGGCGGTCCCTTTTTCAAGAGGCACTCTCGCTTTCGCGCCGCGAACATTCGTACCAACATGATGCAAACGTTTTGAGAATTGAGCTGTGGCCGTTTGAAGGGAGGCTCTCGCTTCAGAGCGCGCGCATTCGTTTTTGCATACAACGTTTTGCAGGATGGATGGAAGCCTGCATATTTCCGACATGGAGTTACCCCCTGAAGATCCACTACGCACGTAGGGCAGCACGGATCCATGGCGGCGGTCCTTTTGTCAACATGGAGATGTCGCTTGAAACTGCTTCGAAGTCCATGACCACAAACGCAAGTTGCTGCAACAATTACATAGATGGGGGGCGGTCCATCTTCGAATTGGGTCTCCCGCTGGACGGCTAGCTGGACCTGTATGATCATCTCTCGCGCCTTTGGTGACGCGCCAGAAAGATGCAAGACAATTATATTTCAAAGCGGGGCCCTCGCAAAAATGCCAGGCCAGACTGTGTTAGCCTTTCAAGGGGGACGCTGCCTGCACTGAACAATGACTTGCAGGGATGTAGGAGAGCTTGGGACGAGAGGGTGCGTTGCAGCATCGTGTATGCATCTTGAGTATACGATTGTTTTCCTCATCTTCCTTCCCCTCCTCCTTCCAAGCCCTTGTTCCTTATCGCTCATCTCGGTCGCACCCCCGGACGTGTCAATAGTCCGCGCCTGGCGTTTCGTCTGAGACGTCCTCATCATTCCTGATCCTGAAGGATGAGATGTGCAACAGCTTCAAGATTTAATGGCGGGCCGTTCTCAAAATTGAGCCCTCGCCTTAGCACCGCGCGCACTCGTCTTAAACGTTGTTAGCAGCCCCAAAGATGGACGGCGGGCCGCTTGCAAAATTGAGGTTTTGCTTGAACGTCACGCGAATTCGCTTCAATGATGAAGGCAGGCTCCTGGTCAAAATGTGGTTGCAAGCGTTCGTGGGGTTGAAATCCCGGGAAAGACATTCTGCACTGCAGAATTCTGGTTCGATATCTTATATTGTCAGGACGCAAAATCCACCTGGATCTGCGGCGTTGAAATCCGAGGAATGGTGTTTCGGCGCGGCTCAGGATCGTCAGGCACAACAATCACGTTGATTCGCGGCGTCGAAGTCCCAGGAATGGCGTTCTGGCACGATCTACGAGTGGCCAACGATTTATGAAATCGAGGAGGCGCCCGAACCATCTCCAAACCGTGCTCGCATTTAGGGGTTCCTGCTTCTTTGCTGAAGAACTGTGCCTGGCGACCGGTCTGGCGTCTATGTGGCCGCCGTCGCCGCCACGTCGCCGTCTCGTCACCGCCCGTCGTCTGGGCCTGACGGCCGGTCTGGCGGCTATATGGCCGCCGTCGCCGCCCCGTCGCCCCCCCGTCGCCGAGTTTGAAGGGGGCTCGGGAGGCCCAGCCACATGCTTCGCCCAAGGCGAACCCCATATCCAACTCTGTTGTACCGTAGTAACGATAGTCCCAGGAGTAGGAGAGCGTCGCGGGAGCGACGGGCCATGTCAAGCGAATATATTTTCGGTCTCAATGGCAAGTGGTGTCCAGTTCCTGGACCTGCTTGCGGAAAGTTTAGTGAACCTTATCACTTAGAGGAAGGAGAAGTCGTAACAAGGTTTCCGTAGGTGAACCTGCGGAAGGATCATTCGCACGCATCCATTCGAATCATTGTGAACAACAGTTGGTGAGGCTCTGGGTGGGGATGGAGATAGCATCGATGCCCCCATGCAGAGACTCAAGGGCAGCAAGCCAGGCTCAGACCGTCTTCTGTGCCTGTCCTTGCTGTCGGGTGTCTTCCTGATCTTCTGTGTTTTTGAATTCTCTCCTGCCTCGCGATGAGGCACAGTCATATCTTGTCGGCTGGCCGCTTGAGCACCAACGGCCGCGGACAAACGCTCGCTATATCTCGCCTTTGCCCCAGCCTCCTTTAGAGTCGCCGCCCATCGTCTGGGCGTGTCTGTCAGTCTGGCGGCTGTGTTGACGCCGTCGCTGCCCCGTCGCCGCCGACGCCGATCGTCGCTGCCGTAAGAATGTACCACATAAGATTGCACCGCATGCATTGCACCACATAAATAATTCCACTCTAAAAGAATAAAAGACTCGACCCCCGCCCCCAGAAGCATCCAAGAGGCCACCAAGAGGCGCCCCCAAGAGTCCCCCAAGAGGCCCCAAGAGGCCTCCAAGAGGCCCCAAAGAGCCCCAAAACGGCCCCCAAGAGGCGTCCAAACTTCCTCCGAGAGAATCCCGAGAGGCCTCCCACGAGATCCCAAAGAACATCCACTACGCTCTTGCAGTATCCCCTCGAGGGAGAGCCGCCGAGCAGGCTGGGCTTGATAGAATGACAAGCTGACATATGCGAGACAGCGAACACCTCACCAGAGCAAGCCAAACGGAGGGAGGAGGAGGAGGAGGAGATAACGACAAAGAGGCAGAGGCGCTCCCCTGAGATCCGACGTCGCGGAAAGCACCGTAAAAAAAACACTACTAGAGCCCTAGACTCCACCTTTATGCGCCATTAGTCGAGCCAGATCGATCTGTGATAGTCACGGGGACCGAAAGCAAGCGAAACCACCAGGCTCGAACAAAAATGGGACGCCAGGATCTCAGGGTCAGGAGATGAGTGCAGGCTGCAACAGCAGCAGCTGCAGCAGAAGGGTCAACGGCACCCTGTGCGGAAGGAGCACGGTGGGACAGGGGCTCGGCACACTGAGGAGCGGCGGGACCCTCCTGCAGCGTCCTCGCCCCCAGAGGGGCCCCCAGATGACAAGGAGGAGCGCGGACAGACTACTGACAGCTCCAGGCTCCGAGCGAACTGGGAACCGAAGAACAGGGATGAGGTGGCGACGAGAACAGAGGAACGGCGCCGAAAGCGCAAGGAGGACGAGGAGGAGCCCATAGGAAGCCCCCAGGAGGCCTCAAGAGGGCCTCAGGAGGTCTCCTCTTCGTCTTCTTCTTCCTCCTCCTCCTCCTTCTCCTCCTGCTCCTGCTCCTACTCTTCCTCTTCTTCCTCCTTCTCCGTCTCCTCCTCCTCCTCCTGCTTCTCCTCCTCTTCCTCTTCCTCCTCCTCCTCCTGCTTCTCCTCCTCCTCTTCCTCCCTTTCCTCGTCCCTTCTCTTCCTCTCCCCAGTGTTCCCCCAGGGGTTTCTACAACGGCTTGGGGAACACAGATTCCAATAGTTTGGCCAGACTTGGGCCAGACGTTTGGCCGCATGGGCGTGTCCAACAGGCAGGGGGCGGCAGTGATTCGCCGTAGGCGTCTTCGACGTCATGAGAAATCCTGCTGCGAGAGATCTCTGGGCACCTTCTTCGTCGATCTGTGCGAGGGTCCCAGGGTGCCCCGGGGCCTCTGTGGGCTCACGCGCTGCTTTTTGTTTGGTCTCTTACTTGACGCGCCTGCAATGGATCACCGCTGGGGCTGCTAAGGGGTTGGGGGGATCATGAGTGGATGCGAATGTGGCTTTGATCTTGCCGAACCCAGCTCACACATGGATTGCAACTGCCCTGAGTGGCTTGAACGGGTTTTGGTAACTCTGTGAAGTGGGCCCTCCGCGAGCCGCTGAAGGCACCTGCAACCCACTCATGAGACAGGTTGGGCCCGATGTGACCCACCTTGGCACCCACCCAGAACCCCCCATCCACTCAGCAGCCCTGGCGGTGATCAACAAGTACTGCAAGGCAGAGGACACTTACACGCTTCGGAACGGAGCGGGGAAGCCCTCCTCGTCGTCGTCCTCCAGCTCGTCCGAGCCGCGGGGCTCGTCCAAGCCGCGCACCTCGTCGCGGCACTCCTCGTGCTCGAGCAGCCGAGAGGAGCCCGGGGCCACCTGCAGACGTCGGCCGACGTCCACGACGACGAAGATGACGACGACGACGACAACGACGACGACGACGACGACGACGCCGCGGACGCCGACGACGACGACGACGAAGAGAACGACGACGACGACGACGACGACGACGACGACGCCGACACCGACACCGACGACGACGACGCGGCCGCCGCAGCTCACGCCGACGACGACAACGACAACGACGACGACGATGACGACACGACGACAAAGACGACATCGACGACGACGACGCCGCCGACAGCGACGACGACGACGACGAGGACGACGACGAGGACGACGACGACGACGCCCACGACGACGACGCCGACGCCGACGCCGACGCCGACGACGACGACGACGTGGACGTCGACGACAGCGCCGACGCTGACGCCGACGCCGACACCGACGACGACGCCGACGCCGATGACGCCGACGACCGACACCGACGACGACGCCGACGCCGATGCCGACAACGACGACGACAACGACGACGACGAGAAGACGGAGGACGACGACGACGACGCTGACGTCGACGACAGCGCCGACGCTGACGACGACGACGACGACGACGCGACGACGACGACGATACGACGACGACGACGACGACGACGACCCACGACGACGACGACGACGACGATGACGACGACGACGACGACGACGACGACGCCGACGCCGACGACGACGACGTCGACGACGACGAGGACGACGAAGACGACGAGGACGACGACACCGACGACGACGAGAACGACGACCACGGCGCCGACGACGACGACGCCCACGACGACGACGCCGACGCCGACGCCGACAACGACGACGACGACGACGACGACGACGAGCAAGAGGAGGACGGCGACGACGACGACGTGGACGTCGACGACAGCGCCGACGCTGGCGCCGACGCCGACGACGACGACGACGCCGACGCCGACGCCGACAACGACGACGACGAGAAGGAGGAGGACGACGACGACGCTGACGTCGACGACAGCGCCGACGCTGACGCCGACGTCGACGACGCCAACGACGCCGACGCCGACGCCGACGACGACGACGCCCACGACGACGACGTCGACGCCCCCGACGACGACGACGACAACGACGACGACGACGACGACGAGGGCACCGTCGATGACGGCGCCGTCGACGACGACGACGACGAGGACGACGACGAGGACGACGGCGACAACGACGCCCACGGAACCGACGACGACGACGCCCACGACGACGACGCCGACGACGACGACGCCGACGACGACGAGGACGAGGACGACGACGCCGACCGACGACCGCGTCCAAGCGTCTTTCTGGGGCTTTCACGGCCCCTCGAGGTCTCCGCGGCTGTCGCCCCCGCGGAAGCCCCCTTGAGGCCTCCAGAGGCCTGGAAGCATACAGAGCCGATCACCTCGAGGGCCGCGCATCGACGACGACGACGACGAAGACGACGACAACGACGACGACGACGACGACGACGACGACGACGACGACGACAACGACGCAGCGGTAAGCGACGGCGGCGACGTCGTCCGAGCGTCGTCCTGGGGACTCCGCGGCTTCTGGAAATCTCCGCCCACCCCTCACCCCGGAAGCTACCCCAGAGGCTTCCTGAGGCCTCTGGAGGCCTGGAAGCATACATCTCCACCGTAAGGAGGACATAGAAAATGCCGGGTTCAGCGCAGACCTTCAGCTTCTTGGCCTCGCGGAGCTCGAAGGAGCCCGTCACTAACTGGCCTGGGGTGAGATCGGCCACGCGAAACTCCACGAATCCCATGAGGGTGAACTCTCTCAAGTTGTTGTGGTCCTTCACCAGCACTTGCACGATGGAGAGGGGCGAGTAAATGGCGCAAGTGACCTTCGCGCGGCGGCGTCGCATGACCGAGTCCCTGCCCAAAGACTTCGTCGTCGTCATGGTGATGTGCACAAACAATATTCGTCGATGTGGGGATAGGCATTGGTACCGGCCTTCGGTCATAGGAAAACCTGTCGCACATTCGAACGGGTTGAACGACTGATGATATGCAAAGGTATACGCAGGCGCACCTATACCACTCCAAACGTGCCACTTCAACAGACACACACACACACACACAAACGCACACACACACACACCTTTACACAACCACACACACACACACACGTCGTGCGAACGCACGTTCAAACCTGCTATGCACATACGGCCCGTTGCTCACGACGTGTTGGGCACGCTACATTCGGACGGCAGCCGCCCACTCAGCAGGCCTCCTCTGATACTGTCTCGGAGGACTGGCAGGCGTCAGCATGCACGAACACTCCCAACGACGACTACGAGGTCCCATGCCCTTCTGGGGGGAGGGGAGGGAGGGGAGGAGGAGGAGGAGGAGGAGGAGGAGGAGGAGGAGGAGGAGAAGGAGGAGGAGAAGGAGGTGAGGAGGAGGAGGAGGTCAAGATGTTGGTCGAGCCAGGGGCTCTCAGATGCGACAACCGCGAATGGCACACAGGCCTTGGATGGCTGCCAGCAGGAAGCACTGCTGGTCTAGCACGAGATACATCGGGAAGCGATTTCCCAACGCACAAGACGACTTGATGCACTGGGAGTCAAGGGGGAGGCCCCGATGGTCGCAAACGGAGGGGGAGCTAGCTGTGCTGAGCCACAGGATCTCCAGAATACTGTGGCACTTGAGTGGTGTGTGCCACACAACTCCAAAGACGCGAAACGATAATTCATTCCTGCGTCATCGATGCCAGCACGGCCCTCGAACACAAACGTTAACCGTGCAGCTGGAAGCACGTTGCGTAACACTACGGTGAGGGCATTAGATAAGGAACCCTTTGGATAAGGAGCCCGAGGTCTGAAAGCTGATGGAGCACCGATTGAGGCTTCACCGTGGATGTGACCGCCGCCCTCATCAGATAGTGGACCACGCAGGATGTGAAGCCTCCTTGGCTCATCCACCCACCATCACACCCATCTCATAATCAAAATGGGAGCAATGCCAGGCACGTCCAGATTGTTAAGCGTAATGCCCTGAACCTCGTCGAAGTACAGCTGCACGTCGTGGGGGCAACCACGTTACGGACAAGTTTGCACTTGATGCTGCGCTTTGGCGATCATGCATGGTAGTCAGCACCATGGCATGGCAGCAAAACATAAGCTCTTAAGCGAGAGCGCCCTGGTATAGAAAATACCGTCGAAGGATGATGCTCGCAACCCCCCCAGTTGCACCAACCATGAGATTGTGGCACATGTTTCGGTGGAAGACTTGCAAGCGTTTGGATAGTGGTTCAAGCTGCACCCTATCCGAAACAAGGCCCCAAGGCGGTCGGAGGATGCGCTCCCTTGCTGCTTCCAGGTGGAATGTCGTTTCCCTGGGGCTCCGAAAGTGGATCCCAGGCTGGGCTGGACGTCCGTGCAAGGTAGAGGCACGCCTTGCGCGAAGCTGCCAGCCTCCACCTGCCAGCGAAATGCAAGCAAGCAGGATTGCATAAAAGCTTTTACTACAAAACGCACCCTCACCGTGCCATGAAGGGCCAGTGCAAGGATCCTAGTCCCGTCCGAGAACGGCATATTTAAATCGGTGCAGGCGCTGTACACCCTGGACTCGATTCTACCGACCCCGTCCTGCCTCAGCGGCTGGCACCAGTGGTGTTTTTGCCGCTGACGCACCCACCTTCCTCGTGATGTGTGCTTGACGCCTATTATGACTGGCGCGCTGCGCCTCGCTTTCGCACATTTCATATGGGCGATGCAATGCGTTATCGACGCCAGCAGTGCTCCGAGGGGCGAGAGCGGGGAACACAAGGCGTTCCAGACCAAGCAAGGCCCCAAATCATGCAGAAACCTGCGCAATCCCGCCCACATGCCATCGCCAACGCCCCGCAGGTAATGGAGCCTGGCCGAAATCCCCGCCGGCGCGCATGCGCACTCGTGTCTGCTTGCCTCCTGACGCGCGCACACATACGATACGAACCCGCGTAAACCCAACGCGTACTGCACAATTTGCTTGCCGGCAGCGAGGGCGGGCGCCGACGCGTTCGGCTTGCCGGCGGGGCGCGCCGGAGCTAGGGGCACACAAAAGCGATCAGGGGATGCGGAGAGCGGCACCGCAGAGGGGCAGCGCGGGAGGAGGCCGGGGCGTACGCCATCCCTCATCCTCTTCTCTCTTCTGCCTCCGCCTCCGCCCCTCTTCCTGTCCCCCCCTTTTCAATTCTCAGCTCTCAGTTGCTACCTGGTCAGCGTGCCAACACACATAAGAATCAAGATAAGGCCGTCGGGGGTCGTGCCCTCCACGACTCTGAGCACTCTTGACCCCTGGGATAAACATGGAAGCAACCCCTCTCACCAACGTTCGTTTGCCCGAGGAACTGCCTGGGGCGGGCGAAGCAAGGGCTGCTTCACGCGGAAGAGGCGGGAGCTTGGGATTAGTCCCAATCTGACCACGCGCCTCCTCTCCTCGGGCCGCCATGGCGGCCCCTCCGCTGGGCGCCCTCTTCGCCCGTCGCGGCCCGCTGGACCGGCAACGCCCTGGCCCCTGGGCCGGTAAACACGTCACGTGTGAAAGCTCACGTGCTCTGCATGAGGAGCGTGTCATCATGGCCATATTGCCGCAGGAATGTAGGAGGCGTGGGTCGCGAAACACAGGACGCGAGGGCACCCTTGATTTGGCAGGGTCGACCTACTAATCCGGGCCGACTGTACCACGCCCGGCGCAGCTCAGCAGACAATGCGCCACTGCTTGAACTGCGGCCCCGCCGCGGTCCCACTGCGAGGCTGGGCCACCTGCCCTGAGGTCCGGCATTGCCGCAAAACTGCAGCATCGTGAAAAATCAAGACCAGAACACCACGGTCAGAAACTCTCGCTTGGCGTGTCGCGGCGGCGGCCCTGGCAACACGGTGTGCCTTGCAAGCGGAGTGCTCCGCTCCGCGGGGCGGGAGGCTCGGAAAGGCTCAGGACGTTGAAGACTGGGGACTGGGAATTGGATAGCGTATCCCGCCGAAGCGTGGTGGGCCAGGACCAGCGGCGCGACACGCTGACCAGAAGTTCCTGACCGTGGGCCCCATCTTTCTGCTGCACCTTTCAGGCCGGATCGATATGTGAGGGCCTGGGGGCCGTGACAAAAACTGCAAGGCTCGGGCCTCAGGGCGGCGTCGCGCCTCGCGCCCCACGAGGCGCGATGGTCTTCGCGCTCTCGCGGGGCCCCCTGCAGAAGGGCAACCCTCCAGCCTGGACCGTGCAGCGCAGGGCGCGGTGACCTTCGCGCCCACGCGGCCGCGGGGGGCCTGGGCGGATCAGCGCGTGGGACAGCCGACGCCGAGACTCCACCCTGGAGATCCTGGCGTCCGAATGTCTTCGAGCCGGGCGTTTTCGGCTGGTTCCGGGCCCCGGGGCCATCACAGGTCGGTGCGGCTCGAGAAGTGCGCGCAGACGGCTGGGCTCCAGGGCTCCGGGTCGTGATCCTTACGATGTCGCCCTGCTTCGCGACGTCGGCTCTCCGGGTGGGAGGCATTCCGCCTGCGGAGCCACGTCTCGACGCCCTGCGGTCTCGGGTGCGGGACCGTGGGTTCTTCACGCCCGCAGCAGCGCGCCCCGAAGCATCCTCCAAAAGTTAGCACGAGGGAAGAGGGGCCTTGGCGGAAACAGGCCCTGGACCCCAGGAGCTTCCCTCCTCCTCCTCCTGCTCCTCCTGCTCCTCCTGCTCCTCCTGCTCCTGCTCCTGCTCCTGCTCCTGCTCCTGCTCCTGCTCCTGCTCCTGCTCCTCCTCCTCCTCCTCCTCCTCCTCCTCCTCCTCCTCCTCCTCCTCCTCCTCCTCCTCCTCCTCCTCCTGCTCCTCCTCCATCCGTTTTCCGTGCAAATACCTCCTCCCTGTCGCGACTCGAGACCTCAAGCTGAAGAGTTGCAAGAGCTTCTTGCTGATGGAGAGCGGCCCTGGAACAGATCCGAATCCCAGCTCGTTCTTCGACGGTCTTGCGGCTCGGGGAGGGCCCCCAGGAGCCCGACAACGGCGAGTAAATACCTCCAGGACCCCCTTCCTCCAGGCCACCCCATTCAGCACGAGACCAGCGCCCACGCACCGCTCCACGCTTGGCCTCCCTCCAGTAGAAGTCAAAGAATCCACCCCCATAATAACCACCCCGACACGCGAAGTCGTTTAGCAAACGCGCCCGAAGAAGGAATCGAACAGGGCAGGGCTGTTTAGTGAACGCCCAGGGCCGTTTAGTAAACGCCAATTGTCTGGTCTGGGTGGTTTTTCCTCCCTTGATTCAGGCCCCGCCCCGACGCGGTGCGGAGCATACGTTCTCGGATGCGAGGGCAGAAACACGATGCGCCGCACCCTTCGTGGGCCCAGGACCGGCGACGGCGCGTGAGACGCCAACGCTGCGCACGGTGCACACAAGCTGCCTGCGGAGCCAGGGCGACGCATCCCCCCCAGGGCGCCTCCCAGGGTGGATTCCACACGGGATTCAGATTGTAGCTCATGTACTTGCTCTTGCCCTGCACCTCTTGGCGGCGCGCAGAGGGGGGCAGGGGGAGGGGGGAAGGCTCCTTAGAAGCACCCTGCTTCTTAGAAGGCGCGGGCCGTACATCTTCGGATAAGGCCCGCGCCTTCTAAGAAGCAGGGGTGCTTCTGAGGAGCCTTCCCCCCCTCCCCCTGCCCCCCTCTGCGCGTGCCCGAACCTCGCCGTTCAGCGTCACCTCCACAAACGGGTCCGAGGAGCCGCCCCAGTCGACAGCATTCCGCCGTCGCTCCCCCTATCGGAGCGCCTGGTGGCTTCCAGGTCTTGAAGTGGCCCAGGGACACACACACACACATACATATATATATATATATATAATAGTTGAATACCAGGGTTCCCAATGTTTTATCAAAATATGTTCTGGATTCTCGTGTTACCCCCTTCTTCCCTACGTTCCAATATCGTCCTGGGGATCGACGATTGTTTATGTCCTTGTGTTTTTGTCCCCTCCTGAGTTCGGGGGCGGCCAAAAGGGGGGCGTCCAAGAGGGGGGGCGCAAATCATGGCCAGCGGCATGTGCGCGGCCCAGGGAGGGGCCAGGGACGTGATGAAATAAGAAGAGGCGCCGTGAAATCTGAGGAATTATCATGGCCCACGCCATGATATCCACCCCCCCCCTCGTCATCACCCCCCTCTTTCCTGCCCCCTCCTGAGTCTCGTGCCTCGGCCCGCTGGCAGCTGCTCGGGACGAGCTGGGCACCCCGGGGAAAGCTCTCGACGAAGCGCAGCTGCTCCGACGCACGCGCCAGGATGGAGCAGCACGTTTCGGCAGCCGCATGTGAGCCCGGCCCCTGCAGGTCGTATGTTTTCCCTTTTGTCAGGCAGCGGTGACCCCAGGAACCGATGCCGGCTGCTTGAAATGAGAGCGGGGAGTCGGCAAGCTGTCTTGCCGCAGGACCGTTATCGCACGTTCGCCCAGGCGAGACGAAGACTAAGGCGAGGAAGAGAAGGAGCGGAAGAGGGGGAGGCCGAGGAAAGAGGCGAGGGGAGAAGGGAAACACACGACATATCGGCCGGGGTTCAGCATTCGGAGGATGCCTGCAGCTCGGTGAGCCCGAGCGTCGAGTGGACCCGCAGGGGTGGGGTTCGCCACGGGTCGCAGGAGATTTGCCTCAGGCTCGGCGCCGCGCGATCGCAACAGGCGATCTCTCTCTTCTCCTCGGGGCCGCCCCCGGTGCCGTGCCGCCCGTACGCCCAGCCGGCGGGGGGCCGAGCGGAACGCGCGAGGCGAGAGCGTCCGAGGAGCAGCGGCAGAGCACCGTTCGACCGATCCCCATCCTGACCAGCAGGGGCCTGGCCTTGCGGACTGGAGTACACCCTGCGAAATGATTAAGAAATCATGGGTTAAGAAATTCATGGTCTCAGAACTTGAACAAAAACCTAACCTTTCTATTAAAATATTAAGATTTACATTGAAACGTTAAGAATAATCGAGACCATGGCCGAAAACTCAAGTTTTCTTAAGCATCGCCTAAGGTGTACCCCCCCCTGAACGGAAGTGCCAGCACTTCCTGGGCAGAAGACGGCAGGAGGCCGGCGGGAGGCGGCGGAAGCACAGCGAGGGCGGCTCCGCCGGCGGAAGCCGGCGAGAGCCAAACGTGCGCCCCCAAGAAGTGGCAGCAGCGTTGGGTTTCAGAGTCTCCAGAACCCGCCATGGGGATGGGGATCGGCTCGACGATGCTGCACAGCCCAGCGACCCCCCACTTTTCAGGCCAGCACGAGTGCAACACAAGCCATTCCATCTGCGGCCAGGACGCTGAGACTCGAAGGGAAACACAAATTCTGACGACGAGAGAAGCCCCACGGCCCCCTGGGGCGGCGAAAACGTCGGGGACGTCCGTCGGGGACGCAAGCCCGGGTCAGTCAGACGTTGCAGGATCCTGCAAGATCCTGCAGGATCCTCCAAGATCCTGCACGCAAGCCTGGGTCAGCAACCCCTGGCTCTGCAGGATCCTGCAAGATCTGGCGCCCTGGCTGACCCCCGTTTGCATTGAACCCCGTCTCAAGGCTCCCGAGCCCGCACCTTCTCTCGATTCGCCTGGTCCCCCCCCCCCTCCTTCGGCGATACCTCGTCGATAGATCGGCGCTAGGCCACCGATAGCGCAACCGCACATCCATGGGCGGGATGGGGCTATCGGGCCCCTATCGGCGATCAGTGGGCGATTGGGGGCCGATGTGCCCCCCCCCTTCTGCCGATCCCCCCAAAAAATTGACTGGCCTCGGTTTTCGGGTCATACCTCGGGTCTCCAGCGGCCGTTCGGGACGATCCGGGCAGCTCCAGAATCGACGAGCGCGTTCCACTACTCGCAAAGTAACTACTCGCAAATGGCCTGGATCCCCCGCCAGGGACCTACGATAAATTACGTCAAAGCAGAGAAGTGTTTTTTCGGACGTTTGCGAGTAGGCACTTTGCGAGTAGTGGAACGCGCTCGGTGACAGAACGCCCTCGGCGAGGCGCAGCTGCTGGAGCGCACCCCGAGGCCAGAGGACGCCTGGGAACCGACGAATACGCGCGAAGAGCTCGCGCCTCGACCGATCCTGGCCCCCGGCCTTTCCTGTGCCCGTCCCCCCTATGCGGATATCCCCCCAGCCTTGTGGATGCCATGACACTGGACACTCTAACAATCCGACCCTTGAATGAAAGCTGTGTTTTTAAAATGTCAGGAACATGTTCTGCACCTGTCTATTTTAACATGTGCTTTTTACATGTTCAAGACATGTGTTAACACCTGCCTTAGACATCTGGAAGTGACTTGGCAACACGCTCCCTCTCAACTAGGAGGAAAACAAACCTCCCTCGCTTTTGACCACCCTCGCTTCCAAGAGATACCAAAACGATGCCAAATTGCAGCCTGTACTGGTCAGGCCGCTTGACGAGGAGGCGCGTGGTATGGCTTGGTTTTGCCTGGAAGCGAAAGCGGGGTAGGTAATTCACGCTCCCTCTCCACTGACCGTCCTCCACGACCCGAAGCACTGCCGCCCCCGACCCCTCCGCGTCGGCGGCCGCTCGCGGGGGCGGGCGGCCGGCGGAGCGGCGTCGAAGCCCCGGCGGTATGAGCGCCTTGGCGGAGAAGACCCGCAGCCGCAGCCGGGCCCAGGGCGACAGCGTCTCCTCGGCGGCGGCGCACGAGGTGACTACCTACCAGACCACCCCAACCCAACCCGAAGACCCGAATTTCGGGTTGGGGGGGGGTAAAGGTTCCACGCGTGTTTTTTCGACGTTTCCCGACCCCCCCCCCACTGGAAATCGAGGGTAAATCTGAGCCTTCGGGTTGGGTTGGGGTGGTTTGGTGGGTGGTGACGAGGGGCGGCACGGCGAGGGGCAACGGAAGGGGGGGGGCGGGCTTGGCAGAGGGGGGGGAGGCATCGGCCAGGAATGGGCGACACGTCGCCGATGGATCGGCGACGGGCCCCCGGTAGTAAATCCGCACCTTCCTCTGTGCAGGTTGGGGCTATCGGGCCCCCATCGGCGATCGATGGGCGATTCGGGGTCGATGCATCCCCTCCTATGCCTGTCCCCCGTTGGGTTTTTGGGCCCCAGCATAATTTTCGCCGGCCCTTGGGCGTCGCATGTATCGCCGGCCTGACAATCTGGCCCTATAGGATAATTTTCGCCGGCGTGGCACCCCCCACGACGCTTCCCCCCCCCCCCACGTGCAATAATGGAATTAGAATATGGGGGAGGAGGGGAGGCTTGCTTCTTAGTCGGGGGCAGGGGGGTGGAGGGGGGGGGAGTGGAAGGGAGTGGAGGGGGGGGGGAGTGGAAGGGAGTGGAGGGGGGGGGAGGCGCACGGGGCACGTTACAGCCAGGACGACACTTCAACCGACACCATGGGGCACTTTACACCCAACATGGATTTTCCCAGAAGGGCATTCTACAACACGGAAGGCCACTTTACAACCCGGCAGTGACAGGCACATGAGCGACAAACGCGCTTCAATGTCAGAAATCCCTACGGGTCCGCGTAAGGGAGACACCTCGAGTGTCTCCTCTGAAGCAAGGATATGTAAAGAAATGCGTTTGGAATCTGATTGGTTCACGTCCGACTGTGATCCTATTGGCATCAGACGAACCCGTTGATATCCAATCGGGTTCGTTGCTCTGGGGCCTAGTGGCATCCTATTCGAATCCTAGAGGCGCGCTTCCTATTGAAACCTTGCTGATGTCCTTCCGAATGGAAACTGAATTAATTAAAACCAGCTGCAATCGGGGAAACTTCCGTGTGGAAAGCTACGGGAAACGTATTGGAATCCTATACTGGAGCCCGGTGGGGGATTCTACATTGAAACCTGTTTCCAAAGCGCCACCACAGAAGGGCACAACAATTGTTCCAAAACCTATGATGCACTGAATCTGCAGTGCATTGCCATGAGATTAGTTGCGCTACAACGCGCTGCTATCCATTGCAACGCGTTGCAATGCACAGGAGGAGTAACAAGGGAAGAAGAAAGAGGAACGCATTGCAATGTTATGCAACACAATCAATTGCAACCCATGGCAACGCAGTGCAATGCTATGCAATGCAATGCGATTAGATTCCGATGCGATTGCAAAGCAATGCGATTGTAATGCATGCAATGCGATTGCAATGCGACTGCAACTCAATGAAGTGGGCCTGCAACGCAATGCACTTGCAATGCATGCAGTGCGATCGCAAATCTACGATCGCAATACGATCGCAAGGCACGGCAATGTGGTTGCAACGCAATGCGATCGCGAGTCTGCGACCGCAAACCATGGCATGCGATTACGGGACTGCCCCCGGGACCCCTCAGGGCACCCCCGAGGACCCCGCCCCTCCTCCAAGACACGCCCCGGACCACCGAGGAGGGGCGCGGACTCCAGACCGCGCTCGGGCCTCCCCTCAACAGCAAGAGGAGCCGCGCGAGGAGCGGGACAGATACTTTGAGCTGTGCTTTTGGGGGGCGCAAGCAGGACGATGATTCGGAGCCTGCGGGGTGAGGCGCGGCAGGGGCGTCAGACGCCATGTGTATACCACGGATGGGGCTCCTAAGAACTTCCCGGCAGCATCGCATACGCCTCTCGCAGGACTGCTTTCTGACGGCCCTGGAAGGAAGTCAAGAACGCTTAGAAGCTGATTGGAGACGCGGGAAGGCGCCCAGAAGCCTCTGGAACGCGCTCAGAAGCCTCTGGAACGCGCTCAGGAGCCAGTCAAGAGCACCTACCTCAGGAGCGCACTTGGGCGCTCCTAGAGGACGCCCAGAAGCCTCCGGAGGGCGCCCAGACGCCTCCAGAGCGCGCCCAGGAGCCTCCTGAGCGCGCCAAGAAGCCTCTGGAGCGCGCGCAGAAGCCTCCGGAGACCGCCCAGACGCCTCTGGAGCGCGCCCAGGAGCCTCTTGAGCGAGCCCAAGGCCTCTGGGGCGCTCCCAGAAGCCTCTGGAGCGCGTTAAGAAGCCTCCGAAGCCTCCGCAATTCGCCCAGGCGCTCAGAAACCTCAAAGTCCCTGGCGAGCGCGAACGCGCTCACAAGCTTAGAAGCCTTTGCAGAGCACTCGAGCGCTCATAAGCTTCATAAGCCTTAACAGTATGCTCGGAAACCCAAGAAGTCTCTGCAGTTCGCTCAAGCGCTCAGAAGCCTCAGAAGCCTTTACAGGCACTCACAACCTCAGAAGCATCCGCAGAGCGTTCCGAGGCTTCTGAGCGCTGGTAGTAAAGTGGCCGTTATGGTTGTAAAAAGACCCGTCTGGGTTCTATGGTGGTCGTTCTGGTTGTAGAATACTGCTCTGGTCGTGAAGTGGTCGTTCCCAAAGGATAAAATGATGTGATCCTTTGCTGGTTGTGAAGCGTCCCATCTCATGTATAAAGTGTCGTTCTGTAGACCGAATATTGGGGGAGTAGAAGAGGGGGGGAGGGGGGGAATGCTTCTCGGCTACACGCAAGGGTGATTCTGGGTAAGGGTGACCTTTGGTGCGCGGCTTGGGGGCCGCGGGGGGACCAAACAGACAAGTGCGCAAGACGCTACTATCTCATCGCGTTCGGCGATCGGGGGACCCCAATGGGCCCGCACCAAATGTCACTCCGGCGAAGGGTCCCTCTTACATGTACTCGAGCTTCTCAGTTGGGGATGTACTGACCCGGGTCAATCCAAACCCGCGTCAGACAGGCCTTGCAGGATCCTGCACGCTGGCCCAGGTCGATGCAAACCTGGCTCCCGCAGGATCCTGCAAGCGCCAGCGCTATGACTGACCCCCGTTTACATTGACCGCGCTATGAAGGCCCCCGATTAAGAAGGACGCTGCTCCTTAGAAGAGCCCAGCCTCATCTATAGATGCAAGGCCCCCGATTAGGAAGGACGCTGCTCCTTAGAAGAGCCCAGCCTTATCTATAGATGCAAGGCCCGCGCCTTCTGCGAAACGGGGGTGCTTCTAAGAAGCCTCCCCCCTCCCCCCTATACCCCCCCCCCTGCGCGAGGCCGCTCTCCAGTGCGCGCAGGGGGCTCTCGAGCACGCGCTGCCGGGCGGCGTGGAAGGTGTCCCGCGAGATCTTCTCGCGCCGATGGAGCGACGGCTGCTCCGCGTCCTCGTCCTCCCCAGGTCAGTGGATGCAGGGGGACGTAAGACCCGGGTACAGTGGACTCGGAAATCCCCGACGAGGTCGTCAAAAAAATGGCGAGGCCGAGCCTGCATTTTGACGAGGCCTCCCGCTGCAGACATCCCACGAAACTCCTCCTCGTCAAAATCCGAGGCGCGCTCGTCAAAAAACGAGGGCGAACCCGAAACCTGGCAAACCCGGGTCTTACGCTCCCCCGATGGATGCCAGATTTTCTGGTCGCGGCCAACGAGATCGGTCGCTGCAGATTTTGCTTCAACTTCTGGCATCGGTAGCGACCGATGTGCTTCCAAATCGACGGCGACCGATTTGGAGTGCCGATCGGTCGCTACCGATCGCGACCGAAACAAAAGGGGCATCCAGTGATCTGGGTCTGCACCGCCGGGAGACATCCCCGGTCCTCCTGCGGACTGATGGCCTCAACCGCGCCTTTCTCCCTCTGCTGAAGCATCCGGGGGCCGTTGTTCGGGGCCCCGCCGGCACGTGTAGAGCGGGGACGACAGAGCGCCCCGGGGAGAGGGTGGTGCCTCCACAGGCAACCCGTATCATAAGGATGCGCGGTAAGGGTGCAAGGACCTTGGAGGCTGATGTTAACGTTTTCCGAACGAGGCTGGCCAGCGAAAGTCGCTGAAGATGGGCCGAGGGGGCCAGGATGCAAGGGTACCCTTGGGAAGGTTGCCCATCCTTACTATGCTGTCTTCCTGGAACCCGCACCCCTGCGCAGAAAGGTCGCACGGCATGGGGCCGAGCGGGTGGAAGCCCCAGGGCTCCAGCCCGCGACCAGGGAGTTGGAGCTTCGGCGCCCGCCCCTCGTGTTGCTCGTTGCTACTTGCCTGAGGGTTCGTCGATAGCGGCCTCCCCTCCTCCTCCTCCTCCTCCTCCTCCTCCCTCCTCCTCCTCCTCCTCCTCCTCCTCCTCCTCCTCCTCCTCCTCCTCCTCCTCCTCCTCCTCCGCCTCCGCCTCCTCCTCCTCCTCCTCCTCCTCCTCCTCCTCCTCCTCCTCCGCCTCCTCCTCCTCCTCCTCCTCCTCCTCCTCCTCCACCTCCTCCTCCTCCCCTCCTCCTCCTCCTCCTCCTCCTCCTGCTCCTCCTCCTCCTGCTCCTCCCTCCTCCTCCTCCTCCTCCTCCTCCTCCTCCTCCTCCTCCTCCTCCTCCTCCTCCTCCTCCTCCCCTCCTCCCCCTCCTCCCCCTCCTCCTCCTCCTCCTCTCCTCCTCCTCCTCCTCCTCCTCCTCCTCCTCATCCTCCTCCTCCTCCGCCTCCTCCGCCTCCTCCTCCTCCTCCTCCTCCTCCTCCTCCTCCTGCCTCCTCCCTCCTCCTCCTCCTCCTCATCCGCCTCCTCCTCCCCTCCTCCTCCTCCTCCTCCTCCTCCTCCTCCTCCTCCTCCTCTTCCTCCTCCTCCTCCTCCTCCTCCTCCTCCTCCTCCTTCTCCACGTCCTCCTCGGACGCCGACGACGAGGACGAAGAGCAGGAGGAGCTGGAGCTCGGGCAATGCCTCAGGCAAGTGGCTCGGTCGAGGCCCGCGGGCCGAGGCAACCATCATATGGGCGATTTCGAAAACCCTGAACCCAAAACAAATCATCCCTGGGGGGGCGCATGTGTTACTTCCGCCGCCCTTCCGCCCGCTCTTCCGCCGGCGGAGGCGGCCTCGTCTTGCCTTCCGCCGACCCTCCTGCCGCCCGCCGCCGAGGAAGCGACAACGGCTCCTCCTGCCCTCGCAGGCAGGGGCCCTCCCTGGACCGCCCCGCGCAGTCGTCGGACGCCGGGGCCCCCGCCCGCAGCCGTGGCCACGTCCTGCTCGGGCCCCCGCCGGAGCGGTGGGCGCGGCCGCCCCGCCACCCTCGCGGGGCGCCCTGCCGCCCTCGCGTGCAGGTGCGCCGCTCCCCAGGAGGCCCCGTGTGCGCACGGCTGCGCGGCGGTGGGCACGGGCATCGGAATTGACGGCTGCCGGGAGGCCCGCGCCCGAAGGGGGCTCAGGGGGAGCAGGCCCCGCCGGGGGACCGACGGTTACGACGGACCAGGCCGCGGAGGAAGCGGGACTGGCCACAGGGCGGGATTCACCCAGATGGAGCGGGGTTCCGCCGGATTCTGGACCAGGGCAGAGTCAGAATTGGACCACCTCCCGGGAGTTGCATCCGAACAAGTGTACTCTGGGGGTGGGTCTCCTCCCCTCCGGTGCCGCACTGGTGGGGCCAGTTCTCTACCGATGCTGGCAAGTGCGCACTGGTCGGCCCACGGCGGCGCTGTTTGAAAAGGCGATGGAGGGGGGGGATGCCGTACATGCATGTTTGAAGGGGCCCTGGGACACAAATAAAAGGATTCCCCATATTTCCCCATATGTGCTGGGTTTCTGTCTTCCCCCCACTGCGCATATGTTCCCATATTTTCTGGGGAATCGACGGTTCATTGTGTCTGTGTGTGTGTGTTGCTTCTCCTCCTGAGTGTTGACCTGCCCGAATCTCGAGGCAGGCATGCCTCCGCTCCTGAGCACCCGGGGATCTCGGCCCCCTCCCCCGGGGCCAGCGCTCGGCTCGCGGGCCGCTCCATGCCGGCGGCCCCGGGGCCGGGAAAAAGACGGCACCAGGGAAGCCGAAGATCGGCGGCGAGCCCGGGGGGGCAGTGCAGAGGGGGGGCCGGCCTGTAAGGCTCGGAAGGCCTCCGGCCTTTGGAGGAGTTTCCTAGCCTTCTCGAGGACGTCGAGGACGTCGAGGACGTCTTCTCAGAGGGCTGGAGGGCTTCTGAGAAGCCCCACCGACGTCTGAGAAGGCCTGCCCCCTCTTGCTTGCCCCCCCAGCGCGCCGCCGAGAAGACGCCGAACGAGCGGCCGTCGCGACCTCCGCCGCGACGCCTGGATCTTGGGGGTACATCGGCGCTGGTTTCTAACACCGCGTGGGTCGTTCAGCCCTGAACGATCGGCGGCCCTCGATCGCAAGGTCGTGTTCCATGCTGGCCGATTCCAGTCTATGGCGGCGTTCAAACTTGACCCCACGGCGGGATCGCCGCCGCGTCGACACGACGCGAGCCTGCCATACTGCGGCGGCGGGGGAGTCAAAAGGTACCCACCGCCACTCCCTGGACTCCTCTACCTCTCCTGGGGTGCCTTCTGACCAGAACTCCGAATAGACTCCGACGGCGGCGACGAGGGCCTCCCAGGAGAGCCAAAATGGCGAAAACGAGGCGAGGGTTAGGAGGCAACTACTTGGTAGTCTTCGTCGGAAGGATTAACGAGGATTAAGCCCCAATGAGGCGCTGTTACGCCAGATTGGGTCTCGCATTAAGCGGGATGAAGCCGGATTGGGCCGGATTAAGCGGGATTAAGCCGGATTAGACGGGATTGAGCCAGATTCAGCCGGATGTCGGACCAGGGCTAAATCAGAATTGACCTCCCGGGAGTGGCATCCGAACGAGGGGCTAACTGGATCGGCATCCCTCCTCTGAGCGGCACGTCCTCGAACTCGTCCTCGCTGCCCACCAGCGGGCCGCGGCCCACCCGGGTGGCCCCGGGCAGCGACAGGCGAGCCCCGAAGCTCCTCAGGGACGAGGCCTCGGGCGCGCCGCGGAACCGCCGCAGCAGCGGGGCGGAGTGCGACTGCTCCGGCGGGCCGCCGTCGCCACCGCCGGAGAGCAGCGGCACCGAGCTCGCCATCCTGGGGGGCAGCGACAGGGGCGGGCTCGATGCGGGAGGTCTGGCTCCTCTGTGTCGGCAGTGGGCAAGCCTCCCTGTAGTAAAACCTCCCCTTGGTGAAAACGGCCTGGGGCCGAAATCGACCGCCCTGGACCCGCAAAAATGACGGCCGCGGCGCCCTCTCGCGAACCGAAAGCGGCCGATTCCTGAATCGACGCGTCGGGGTAGGACGTCTATCAACCTCCGGCTGTGTTGGTCCAACTCTCTGGGGAGCGAAGCTGAGGGGGCTGAAGGGCAGGGGGGCCAAGGCTTCGAGCTTCGATGATCGAGGTTTCCAAACGTTCTCGCTGGTTCCCGGAGGCTTTCCAACCTCGACATGCCTTCCAGCGGCTGCTCATCGCCGAGAGCGTTCTGGGGGTTCCGGGATCGTCCCGAACGGCCGCCGGAGGCAAAAGCCATGACCCGAAAGCCCTCCAGGGGGCTCGCTGCAGGGAGGTAAGGGTCGAACTGGAATCGGCGAGACACCGCCGCTAGATCAGCGAATGTCCCCCGATGGCGAGACAGCACACTCCTGGGGGCGCGGGTGGGCCATCAGGCACCTACCAGTGATGAAGGGGCGACTGGGGGTCGATGCATCCCCACCTGAGGCTATCCCCCCCTAATTGACTGAACTCGGCTTTCTGGTCGTAACTCGGGTCTGGCGGCCGGTCGGGACGATCGGGGCACCCCCGGAAGGCCCTCGGCGAGGCGCATCTTCTGGAGTGCCTCCCGAGCCTGGAAGACGTCCAGGAACCGGCGAGAACGTCCGAAATCTCCCCCGAGTCGACGATCGGGAACTGTTCCTCAGCGTGTTTCGGCGGCGGCCCCAGCGTGGCGGCGGCGGCCCCAGCGACACGCTATGCCCTGCGAGTGAGTGGGTAGCGTGTCGCTCCGCCCCGCGGGGCGGGAGACTCGGGAGAAACTCGGGACGTTGACGCTCGGGGACTCGGGATGTGGACAGCGTGTCGCGCAGAGGCCAGAACTGGCGGAGCGACACGCTGTGTGAGAGGCTATTTTTCTTCAGTCTCAGGCAAGTTCACTTGCATGGCATTTCCCCCCTCAACACTGCGCCGCCTTCTCAAACAATGCTGGGCCGACTTGCATGAAGTCCAGATTTCCTTTCGGGCCCCGCCACGCCTCCCCCCCTCCCTCCCTCTCCATTCAAGCAAACTTGCCAGGGTCTGAAGAAAAACTGCCCCTAAGCCCTAAACGCAAAAACTACCGCACCTTGCTCCCAAACAGCGTTTCGCCAAAGAGGTTTGAATCGTGCCCCACAGGGGGGCACGGGAAGCCCCAGGACGCCCTGCGCAGCAGCCTCTTCCCCTGAGACTCTTCTGCACACGTTGTGCAGGATCTGTGCCCTCGCCGCAGCGCCGGCCACGTGTGTGCTGCAGACTCGGCGGTGGACAAGCCTCCCTTTGGTAAACCTCCCCTTAGTGAAAACGGCCTAGGGCCGAAATCGACAGACCTGGACCCGCAAACCTGACGGCCGCGACGCCCTCTCGCGAACCGAAAGCAGCCAACTCCTGAATCGACGTGTCGGGGTAGGAGGTCTGTCCACCTCCGACAGGCGGCCACGATCATTGCAGAAGATACACCAGGTGTGCAGATGGTCGTGCTCTCACCCCTGCCCCGGCTGTGTCTGTTCTTTTTCAGGGCTGTGTTCGGTGCTCTGCTGGGGTAATAGTCTGACGTCGGGCCCAAACAAGGGTTGCACAACCACCCAGAAGCAGACACCGTGCCGATGAGTTCCCTTGCGCCGAGAAGCGCGCGCCCAGATCAGCGCCGAGCAGCAAACGTGCTATCACCACGTGATTTGACACAACTTGCGACCCGCCGCCGAAAGAATGGCCCGATCGCCTTCCATGACTACCTACCAGACCACCCCAACCCAACCCAACCCGAAGACCCGAATTTCGGGTTGGGGGGGGTAAGGGTTCCACATGTGTTTTTTCGATGTTTCCCGAACCCCCCCCCACTGGAAATCGAGGGTAAACCTGAGCCTTCGGGTTGGGTTGGGGTGGTTTGGTGGGTGGTGATTCCATGCGAACCGACAAAAAATCCGCAGCGGTGGTGCACATCCTGTGGGCCCAGGCACGGTGCCCCCGACGACGCCGTCCCTCCGCAGACCGTCAGCAGCGCCGGCCGGGGTCGCCGAAGGCCCTCTCTCTTCCGATGCCCAGAGCCCGCCGCTCCGCAGCTCCGACGCCGGGCAAAGCGCAGGGCGGGGAGGGGGCCTCGGCCCCACGGCGTGGCTCCCTCGCCCCGCAGGTCCGCCAGAGGGGACCGGCGGACCCCGTTCGCGCTGACCCCCGTTTTACCCCGAGATGCGGCGCTCCGACGGCCTGGCAGCCCCGCGAAAGATCACGGCGGGAGCCCCAGACCCGATCTCTTCCGGCGCCGTGTTGTTTCGGCCCGACTCGGTGCGTGAGGGCCCGGGGCCCGAGACTGGGCGAAGACGCCCGTTGTGGCAAAATCGCAGCGCCCGGAACTCAATCGGCTACAGGCAAGAGTGACCCTAGGCAGCAGTGACCTGTGGTGCGCGGACTAAGGGGCGCAAGGTGCTCAAATCCAAGCGCGCAATCAGCCACTATCACATCGCGCTGAGCGATCGGGGCAGGCCCCGATGAGCCCGCACCAACGGTCACCACTCTGGCGAAGGGTCACTCTTACGTCTAGTCGACCCAAGGGTAAGTACGTGAGACCCGGCCCCTGACATCTGGACCAGGCAACAAACGACACCAGCCCACCTACGGCCCCACGGGGCTTAGCGCATATACCGACAAATCTGGCGAGGGCCTTGGCGTGGTGTACGCTCCAGCGCCCGATGGGCCGTAGCGCAACATGGAGGGCCGTAGGTGGGTTGGTGTCTTTGGAGGAACCAAATACCGCTACTCCCTGAACCTCTCCTGGGATGCGTTCCGACCCAGATTTCGAGGCGAATCCAGCGGAGGCGACGAGGGCCCCTCAGGAGGCCCAGAAAGGAGAAAACGAGGGGACGGTAAAGGTATGGGCACCCACTCCTCCTGTGATAGGTGGGGTGGTGTCTCTGTTTTGGACGCCGGAAATGGGTACTGAAGAAATGGGCAGAATGCCCAACAGCAAATGCTGTCCCAAACCAACAGCGGCCGCTGTTGGGCAAGCGGCCTTCTGTCTCGAGTTGACACAGGCCGCGGCGGCGCGGGCAGCGAGTCCTGCTGTTGGGCATTGTACCCATCCTTTCCGTACCCATTTCGTTCGTGCAGATCAGTTTCTTGGTCGAACATCCCCTGGCACCCCGGCCCAAAAAGGAGAAACGAGGGAAGGGTAGAGGTATGGGCACCCCTTCCTCCTCTGATAGGGGGGGTGGTGTCTCTGTTTCTTGGTCGAACATCCCCTGGAACCCCGGCCCTGGCCCGCGCAGCAGCACCGCGGCGGCCGCGGCGCGGGGCGCGCCCGCTCCGGCGGCCTAACACCGCCCGCGCCGGCGAGCCTCAGCGCCGAGGCCGCCATGCGCGGCCGGCGCCGCGGGCGCGGCCCGCGGCGCCCCTCAGGGGGCGGCCGCGGAGCCCCTCAGGAAGGCGGCCGGCCTTGGGCCGGGTTCGCGCGGCGCGGTCTCGCATGGCCGCTGCTCCTCCTCCTCCTCCCTCTCCTCCTCCCTCCTCCTCCTCCTCCTCCTCCTCCTCCTCCTCCTCCTCCTCCTTCCTCCTCCTCCTCCTGCTCCTCCTCCTCCTCCTCCTCCTCCTCCTCCTCCTCCTCCTCCTCCTCCGCGCGCGCGCCCCTCGGACAGTCCCAATCCCTGCACACCAGGAGGACTACTGGGGCTCACGAGCTACCCACGGGCCACCCTTTAAGGCCTGGTGGGAGCTGCTCCTTGGTGAGCTTCACAATGGCCTTATGTCCCCCACTCTGGCTATTGCGGGGTGGGGTACACGGCTCCTTGAATTTTCGAAAGGCTCGAACCCGCCAACATCCGCACCGCCGACATCAAAGAACCTCGCGACACAGGGCGAGGTGATGCCAGTGGCTGGGGTGGATGGCAGGCCCGTCCTCCTCAAAATCAAATACTATCCCTCCACTCTCGGCGATGCTGTGGATCAGCTCGGCCCCGACGGCTTCGGGTGATCGGCACGCTGATGTGAGCCACCTGGCGCAGGACCTCCTGTGGGTCTGCTTCCCGCAGCGGTGACACATCACTTGATCATCACACACTTGGGGCAGGTGAGGGGTCGCTGAGAGGAGGTGTTGAAACGCCCTATTGCTGCTGCTCGCGCCGCCGAGTCCGTTTGGCCTCGGCGCCCTCCTCTATCACTGGGAAGTGTGTCCACCAGAGCATCTGGGCCGCTGCCAAACGCCCTCTGATCTGAGCTGCGAGGCTATCGAGGGCCAACGCTCTCTGGGCTAGATCTTCGGGCATTGCAGCACGGGCGGCGGCTTCGCTTGCGAGCCGATCCGCCTGGCCATTGAGAAAAAGGGCCCAAGCTGGAAAACGGGCGCGGATCTCGGGGTCGGTGGCATGACTCTTCACCTTGAGGTACCCAGTTTGGCCCTCACGAGACCCCAAGACGCGCCAACCTCCTCCTCCTCCTCCTCCTCCTCCTCCTCCTCCTCCTCCACCTCCTTCTGCTCGTCCTCCTCCTCCTCCTCCTCCTCCTCCTCGACTCCTTCCTCCTCATCCTCGTCCTCGGATCCTTCTTCTTCCTCCTCCTCCTCCTCGAGTCATTATTATTCCTCCTCCTCCTCCTCCTCCTCCTCCTCCTCCTCCTCCTCCGAATCATCATCATCATCATCATCATCATCATCATCATCATCATCATCATCATCATCATCATCATCATCATCATCATCATCATCATCATCATCAGCATCATCATCATCATCATCATCATCATCATCATCATCAGCATCATCATCAGCAGCAGCGTCAGCATCATCATCACCACCACCATCATCAGCATCATCATCATCATCATCATCAGCAGCAGCATCAGCATCAGCATCATCAGCATCCTTCACCTCGATTCCATATTATTATTGTTATTCCTCCTCCTCCTCCTCCTCCTCCTCCTCCTCCTCCTCCTCCTCCTCCCCCTCCTAGATTCCTCTTTCCTCCTCCTCCTCCTCCTCATCGATTCCTCTTTCCTCCTCCTCCTCTTCGATTTCCTCCTCCTCCTCCTCCTCCTCCTCCTGCTCCTCCTCCTCGATTCCTTCTTCTTCCTCCTCCTTCTCCTCCTCGTCCTCCTCCTCCAACTGCTCCTCCTCCTTTTCCTCCTCGATTCCTTTTATTTTTCCTCCTCTTCCTTCTCCTCCTGGTCCTCCTCCTCCTCCTCCTCCTCCTCCTCCTCCTATTCCTCTTCCTCCTCCTCCTCCACCTTCTCTTCCTCCTCCTCCTCGTCCTCTTCCTCCTCCTCCTCCTCCTCCTCCTCCTCCTCCTCCTCCTCCTCCTCCTCCTCCTCCTCCTCCTCCAACTCTGATTGTCCTCATCCTCGTGTATTTCCCTTTCTTGACCCCTTCCTTCCTCACTCTCTTCCTCCTCCTCCGCCTCCTCCTCCTCGCGTTCTTGCCCTTCTAAGCAACCCAGACGTGTCCAGAGGGCGGGCCGGGCGTTTCGTCTGAGGTTTCCTCACCATGTGTGGCCCTGAAACGTGAAATTTGCAACAGATTCACGGTTGGAGGGCGGGTCCTTTTCAATTTGTGGCTCTCGCCTCAACGCCGCGCAAATGTTTCATTGAAGTCTGGCAACAGCTCTACGAATTGAGGGCGGTGGTTGTAAAAGTCTGGATCTTGCCCTAGCGCCCCGCATTTTCGTCTTCAATGGTCGCAACAACTTCACCGGTGGAAGGCGGCTGCCTTCCACAGTCCGGCTCTCGACGAAGCGCTCCGCACATTCGCTCACACAAACCACGCAGCAGCTGCACGGACGGGGGGCGGGCCAGCTTGACGGAGTTGGGGCGAGGCGCTTGCAACATTGGGTTCTCGCCTCAGCACCGCACACACCGTCGTCGTAAACGGTTGCGACAACGTCCCTGGTGGAAGGCGGGGTGGCCTTTCCAAATGTGATTCTCGCCGCAGCGCCCCGCACATTCGCCCGAAAAGTGCGCAGCGCCTTCACGGATGGAGGGCGGGTCGCTTTCTGAATGTGGTTCTCGCCTAAGCGCCGTGCGCGCTCATCTTACACGCTTGCCAGAGCTTGAAGGGTTCGTACGGTTGAAGTCCAAGCAATTCTGTGTTCTGGCACGATTACTGACTGTCAGGACGCAAGAGTACCGTCGATTGGCGGTGTTGAAGTCCCTGGGATGGTGTTCCGGCACGACTCAAGTGTCAGGGCGTAACCGTCACCTGGATCCGCGGCGCTGAAGTCCCAGGAATTGTGTGTTTGACAAACTGAAGGCTCTCAGACGATTGTCTTCTAATGGGCAACTTCCCGCAATGAGCGACAAATTCTGTAGGGACCTATGAAGCGGGAGCTTGGAGGGAGGGTGCGTCGCAGCACTGGTAAAGCGTCTCGTTTACACTGGTCCCCCCCTCGTCCTCCTCATCCTTCTCCTACTCTCGCGTCGTGAGATTATCCAACGCGGAAGCCCCCATATGTACGAATCGTTCGCCTGGCACATCTCGTCGAAAGCGATTGTCTGTGAGTCTCCGGGTGTGTAGCGGAATTGGCGCCCCCCCCCCTGAGGTGTTGAAACCAGCGCGTCGCTCGGGTCACCCTCACAATCTGCGAAGCGGACGAAGGAGGACAGGGAAGAGGAGGAGGAGGAGGAGGAGGAGGAGGAGGGAGGAGGAAGGGGAGAAGAGGGGCGGCGAGGCCCACGCCAGCTTGGGCCAGGTCCGCGGGGATCGCCCCCCGATCTCCAACGATGTTTTCTTCCATGCGGGCGTTTGTCCTCAACTTCGGCCCGCAGGGCCCCGCTACAGCGGTTACGAGGCCCCAGGAGGTGCAGCTCGGTGCCTCGAAGAGGCTCGAAAGCTTGGAGTCTCGGAAACTCGGGGAAGCTCGGGCCTGGGCAGTTGCGGAGGAGGAGGAGGAGGAGGAGGAGGTGGAGGAGAAGGACGAGGAGGACGAGGAGGAGGGGCCACCCTCAAGGACGGATCCGGGCCCCTGGCTCGGGCTGGGCTCGCGGGGCGCGGTCGCCCGCGCGGGGGCCGCGCGGGCCCCGTCGATGAAAAGCAAGATGAAAAGCAGGTCCCGGGGATGGGACTCTCGGGCCGGGCGAAAGGGGGGGATAGCAAAGGGGGGGATAGCAAAGGGGGGAATCAGCTCACGGCGCCTCCCGGCGCCGGGAGGCGCCGGGAGGCGCCCATGTATCGAGGAATGGGCGGCGAAAGCCCGCGCCGTTCGGCAATACAATGAACAAGGTTATGTTGCCCCCATCGTACTTAAGGACCACATCCCAAAAAGAATTTGGAGCGCCTGGAAAAGTGTCGAAAGAGTGTCGAAACAGGACCGAGTGTCTCCCAGGGCCCGACACGCGAAAACCATCTAGGTTCGGTACTTTTTCCGGGTGCTGGAACTTCCTTCTGGTGGTCAAGGCTGAGGTAGGTTGGAACATCACAAGAATAGGAAGGCGAGCCCCTCCCGAGCCCCGAAGCAGTCCCTGCTTGGGCACGCCTCGGCCGCGGGGCCGCTCTGAGGGGCCCCACCAGCGGGCGGCGGGGCCGAGGCCTCCGGTGGGGCCTGCTGGGAGACTGGCCGCAGGGCGCGGCGTCGTCGCTCGGACGTTCCATTCCCCGTGCACGTTTGGGTTTCGCGCGTGCTTTTTTGGCCCGATGGTCGAGGATGCTCCTCGAAGGTGCTCACCGAGAGCAACAAGTGCACACGTCGAAGCGATGCCAGGGCGCGGCGCCGACCGCGCGGGGCTCGCGGGGCGCAGCTCCCGGATCTCCGACCGCGTGGACTCGTGATCCCTGCGCGCGCCTCTCGTCGATGCCAGCCCCTGCCCTGATCCCAGACCCCCTCGAGTCGTGACAGCAATCACGACGGGAGGTTCCCCTTGATTTCCGGCCTCTTTGGGCCCTTGCCGGGCCTCGGGGCCGTCCAAAAACGACTCAGGACGAAGAACCAGTCTTGGGGACCGGGTAGAGACCTCTGGGGGTCGACGTTCTGGAAAAAAACATGGCGTCGTGGGCATGGGATCGCTGGATACTGGAATGTTCCAATGGCGAACGAGATCGGTCGCTACCGATTTCGCTTCAAAATCTGGCACTGGCCACAAATGAGTTGCTTCAAAATCGATCGTGACCGATGTTGGAAACGGTCGCGACTGATTTGGAGAGCTGGTTGGCCTCTAAGGCTACTGAAGACCGAACACATCGGGTATGCAATGATCTGAGTGGGGCCTGCTATCGGGTTCCGGGACCATCAAAAATAGCTCCTGGGCGCAGAACTGGTTGTTGCTTTACGTTGTGCATTTTTTACCGCAAACAACCGACCCCAACGCGATCCACTCAACTTCATCCGCCATGCGATACAAAGAGTCGCCAGGCAAACCATGAACACCCCAGGAGCCGACCTGCACTAGGCAAAGTCATGAAGTGAACCGTGGCCTGAGAGAGAGAGACAGAGAGAGAGAGAGAGAGACATAGCACACCAAAAGTGGCGAATTATCCACCCCCCTGCGCCGGCCGCAGGCTATTGAGAATCCAAGGAGGAGGAGGAGGAGGAGGAGGAGGAGGAGGAGGAGGAGGAGGAGGAGAGAAAAGAGAAGAGGAGAACGACATGTAGACCAACGTCGGCAGGGAGATGACCTCTCGTGCGTGCGTACACCGCACCCCCCGAGCACTGACGGAGGGGGTGCTCGCACAGGACATCCTCAGGGGCCTAAAGAGCGAAAGCAGGGCCGCCCGCCCAGGAAGAGGGGGCCGGGACACGAAGTGCCAAGAATGCAGGCGCAGCGCAAGACAGCACGGAACAAGAGGACAGCAAGAGCTAATGCGAGCAGGCAAGCACTAAAGTATGTCATGCCGCTGAAGCGTGGGAACGAATGCGAGCAGGCAAGTACCAAAGTATGTCATGCCGTCAGTGGGAGGTGCAGGGGAATGGGGAAGCTCTGAGAGCAGGCCGCCCCTGACGCCCTCAAGGCGGTGGACGCCGCCAGCCAAGGCAGGGGGGCAGCGCAGGGGCGACGAAAAAAACTACACGAGCATGCAGCATGCAAAACAAAGCTGTATCCAAACAGAGGGGCAGGAAAAAGAGAAAGAGAGAGAGAAGGGAGAGCGAGACGGAAAAGAAGAGGAAGACAGAGGATGGGGAGGGGTGCCTTCACGGGTTTGAATGCTCAACCACGCCCTTGACCGCGTGGTGCGACACCGCATTGTGCCCACCTCCTGCAACATCTTCAGTAGCATCAGCAGCGGACGTCGACCCAGGAATCGGCGAGTCCATTGGGGCGTGAGTCGGCGAGCTGGCTGGCGCAGTGATCGGCGAGCTGGTCGGTGAGGGAGTCCGCGCGCTGATCGGTGAGGGAATCGGTGAGCTGGCCGGCGCTGGAGTCGACGAGCTGGTTCGGCGAGCTGGCCGGCCCTGGAGTCAGTCGGTGAGCTGGCCGATGCGGGAGCACCTGGGCTGGTCGGCGCAGGAGCCTGCGTGCTGGTCGGTGCGGGAATCGGCGAACTGGTCGACGCGGGACTCGGCGAGCTGGTTGGTGCGAAAGTCGGCGAGCAGGGCGGCGCGGAAGTCGGCGAGCTGGCCGGCACGGAAGTCGGTGAGTTGGTCGGCGCGGGGGTCAGCGAGCTGGCTGGCACGGGAGTCGGTGGTCGGTGCGGGGGTCAGCGAGCGGGTCGGCACGGGAGCCGGCGAGCTGGTCGGTGCGGGAGCCAGTAGGCATCTGCCACGATAGTTTGCTTCCTCCATGCAATTGATGTGTTCGCCTCATCGTGCCCCTGTGGAGTCGAAACCGTGTAGTGGGCTCGGGGCGGAAATTCTGGCAGTTGTACACATTTAGCCTAAGCAGTAAAACATCATGTCCTGTCACAGTCCCAGTTCCGATACACTGGCCCATTACCTCCACTCTCAATCCCAAGACGGCCTCAAAGGAGGATGCGAGTTTGCAGTATGGCCCAATCCACCGCCGACCCCCAGAAAGATCATGTATCGACATGCTGCTGGCACTCCAGGGGAGTGGCCCAGTCCTGTCCAGATACGCGTCCAAGGCCCCAGCACAAGTTGGGCTAGCCGGTGCGGGAATCGCTGAGCTGGTCGGTGCGGGGGTCGGCGTGCTACAGTACTGCAGTACTACCAATGATGTCTGTCGGCGCAGGCATCAGGAAGCAACGAACATGTCACGAATTTCGGCTCTGTTAGATGCTGTCCGGTGGCTCTCCGCATTTACTCGGAGCCCCACGCGGGCACGGCTGGCAACATTCGGCATCGCGCACTTTGGCTCAATTCTACTGAGCTGGCCGATGCGGGAGCACCCAAGCTGGTCGGCATGGGAGTCGGTGTGTACCACTGAACGTAGATAGCCGCGTGAATGGAAAAAAGAGTCAGAGCAGAGCGCGCCATAAATGTTACATGAGACTGGCTTTTTGTCCGAACATGGTTTGTGGCCATCCCCGATTAGGGAGGGCCTTGACCACGTGCCGCGGAATAGGCCGGAAGTTGGCGGGACCTCGGTGGGAGCTGACGGAATCAAGCGCAGTGCATAGTAGGTTGGCAATCCCACTGAATGGAACAACGGCTTCGGCACACGCTTAGCATTATCAGGTACTGCATGAACGTAGGGCACCCTGACTGTGGAAGCCATACCAGTCCCGGTGCCCCGGGAACCGTTCCTGGCAAGTCGGTCTCCGGACAGCGCAGCCCGTTGCTGGGAACTCGTAGGTCTCCCGGCAGCGCGGCCCGTTACTGGTAACTCGTAGGTCCACGATTTCCGGCTGGTTTGGGGTCAGCGACGGCTTCTCCGACGCCCGTGCATCCCCATCCCACCCCGATGCCAACGTGCCTCCGTCTTTCTCGGCTACTCCCTCCACGTCAACGACTCTCGCGGCACGACGAGGACCACGCAGCGGCGCGTCGTCGCTGAACGGCGCAGCCGCAACGGCTAGCAGCTCCAGGGAAATGCGGGCTCTCCTTTCGACGTCGGCTCCAGAGAGTACACCTTCCAGCTTGCGCAGACTACAGTGCTCCATCTCTTGCGCAAACGCACCCGCACCTTAAAAGCATCACCGCTACAACCCGTCCAGAATGCCTGGTTCCAACACTTATGCAGGCCGTACCACGCCACCGATTCGGCGCAACCATTCGACGCCACCGCACTCGACGCAACAATTCGATTTCACAATGCAACAACTCGATGTCACCACGTACGCAACAAATCGACACCACCACACTCGATGCAAGAAGCCGCCACATTTTTTCGACTCCGGCTCCGACTCCGGCTGCGACACCAGCTCCAACGCTTCGGCATGCGACTGAATGGAATGTAGCAGGAGGAGGGAGAGGTGCATCAGTACTTGTTTCTTTTGGCGTACTGGCTTTGCCGCGATCTACGCATGACTATACGAGGATGGGCTGGCATCCCCCTGAGCTGGATCACCAGCAGCACGACGATGAGCAGTACGAGATTGACGCATGCTGGATGCGCTGCACGAGGACAACGATAGTGAGGCGCATCAGGTGCGACATGGTGCGGCCATCAAGTATCAACCTCCGAATGCCGTCGATGTTGTTGGACAGATTGCAGGGGAAAATCACGATTCTGAGTCCCATCACTTTAGCCTGGCTCTGGATCTTCAGCGTGGCTCATACGATACCGGACAGTGCTCCGGGACGCAAAACTACCCCTGGGGAAGGGGTGCAGACTTCTGGGTGCGGGGGTCGTGCGACGTCAGCGCCCCTCAAACGGGGACTCCACTAACGGGTACTTTGGCCAGTGACCCAGCGAACCCAACCCTTCCCGATGTGGGCAAAACTGCAATGCAAGAAAAAGGCCCTAAAGTGGCAACTTTCGGCAAAAATTCAAAGTACCCTTTAGTAAGTACCCGTTACGGTGCCGTTGACGACGGGGCTACCCGCTGGACCGGACGCGAGAGAGAGGGCGCACCAATGGGGATCTGGGCGTGGCAGCTCTTGTCGCACCCCGGGCGCCGTCGCCCGGTTTCGGGCCCCAGGGGCCATCCACGCAGCGCTCCGGCTCGAGACACGCCGCGGGAAGGGGGTCATAGGGCTCTGGTCTCGGGTCGGGCGAAAGGGGGGGATAGCAAAGGGGGGGGTTGAGAATCAGCTCACGTAGCTGATTTTCCCGGCGCCTCCCGGCGCCGGAGGCGGCTATGTATCGAGGAGTGGGCCCCTCGGTGGGGCCGAAACCAGCTGCATGCAGCAAATTCCGTAACCCCCCCTTTCCCAATCCCCCCCTTTCGCCCGGCCCGATGGTCGTGCTTGTCTGCGAGGCTGTGCTTCTGTTCGCGACGTGGGAGTGCAAGGACGTCGAGCCGAACGAAGCTGCCTTCGTAGCGGGGCTGCCCAGGACGACGCCTCCAGGGGGCCCGCCGACCGTCGCCCCGAAGTCGAGCTGGGGATCGGCTACAGCATTGCTTTGCCCCAGAACTCGGCGGCGAGCGGGGGGCAGTGAGAAGGGGAAGGCCTTCTCGGAAGGCTCGGCAGTCCCCGGGCCTTCTGAGAAGCTCTCTAAGCCTTCCCCGAAGACACAGAGAACTGCTCAAAAGGCGCGAGGGCTTCTGAGAACTCCCGCCGCCTTCCGAGAAGGCCGTGTCCTTCTCGCTTCCCACCCTTCGCTCGCCGCCGAAGAATTGCTTTCTCGTTTACTCTACGAGAAAGACGTCGGATGCCCCGTAGATTTGCAAAGTACGCATGGCACGTCTGATATATTCGATGGGAGCAATAAAAAACATGGGGAACCTCAGGTCCTGCAGCCGATCCCCTACTCGACGAAGGGCGCCGGGCGCGCCACCGAGCTCTGCCGTCGCATCGATGTCTGCCGTCGCAGCGCAGGGCGTCGGCCGCGAAAAGGCGCGGATTACGGCGGCGGGCGGTGGTGGCGGGAGGAGGAGGAGGAGGAGGAGGAGGAGGAGGAGGACGACGACGACGACGACGTCGACAACGACGACCGCGACGGCGACGACGACGACAACGGCGCGGGCGGCCCCCCATCCTCCAACCCCTCCCCTTGCCATCGCTCGGACGTCCACTCCTGGCGCATGTCTCGGTCTCGCGGGTTTACTCTTCGCACGGTGATCACCGATGCTCCGCGATGGTCCTCGCCGAGAAAAAGAAGCACACGTCCGAACGACGCCAAGTCCCTCACAAACGGAAACAGGGTCCCCCATTGGGAGAAAGGCACTGCGGGGTCCCCTTAACGGCATGCCCAGGAAGAGAGTTGATGAGAGAGTGGCAGGGAGGGGTGGAGCAGGGGGAGAATATGGAGGGGGGAGAAGAAGGGGGGGTGGGGAGGCGGGAGAGAGGGAGTGGCGCTCGGAACTTGAGCAGCTCTTCCAAAAAGCGCGGTGGGGAACAGCGACAAATATAGCTTCGGCCCTCGAACCCCAAAAGTCAGCCGACCAGTCTGTTCAGAAGCAGCCCCTGGACCCCGCCCAAAATGATTCTCCTGGCGGGTATCTGTGTCCAGACTGATCTGTGACGTCTCTGGGGCCCGAACCAGGCCTCTGGAGGCTGCAACAACAGAAAAACGCTTCGGGCCTCCACCCAGAATTCCGACGGAAGTCCAGCCGAGGCGGCGAGGAGCCTCCCAGAGGCCCACAGATGCAGAATGAACTACCGAGCGAGCACCTCTGCCCCCCGAGCTCCGACGTGGCTGAAGAATGCACAAACACCGCGAAACATCACGGCCAGAGCCCGAGACGCCATCCCTCGCTGCAGCATTCGTCCAGCCGCGGACAGATCCGTGATGGCCCCGAGGCCCCCAGAACCGTGCGAAAGCGCCTGGTGCAAACGGGTTGCAACGCCCGGAACTGAAGGTTTTTCGGCGAAAAATGAAAAAATAGTCACAACATATCCCAAAATGGTCAAGCAATACTCAGAACACAGTCCCCAGACTGTTTGTGTACTATCTTTGGATATCCCTCCTGTAGAGGGACAGGCCCGACTTAAGGGTAGCCTCCAGCCTCCGACCTCCCGCCGCCCCCGCCGGGGCGCCTGCGTGCCGTCCATCTTCAACGCCTTGGCCTGGCCCCTGACGTCCGAGAACGTCACGTGCGCGAAGCCCCGGAGGCGGCCGCTGTCCTGCCAGGTGGGCGCGCGCACCTGCCGCCGGCGGCGGAGCGGGAGCGGGCGCAGGGGGCGGATCGGGACAGACAGCTCGAGCACTCGAGCACCATGCGGCGAATTCCAGACACCCCGAACCCAAACAAGTTGGTCATCTCTTGGAGGGTCGACTGTTGCTTCCGCTGCCTTCCGCCTGCCTTCCGCCGGCGGAGTTGGCCCTGTTTTACTTCCGCCGGCTCGTGCCGCCCTTCTGCCGCTTCCGCCGAGGAAGAGATGGCACCTCCTTCGATCCTCGAAGGCAGGGACCTTTTTGGATCCCCTCATGCGGGACCTGCTCTAGAACAGGAACAAACCGTAGACGGATCTACCCTTTTTCCGACCGTGTACTGCGCCGAATGAAGCGGCCGCGCTGTCCATAGACCTCCATAGACACATCCACACTGAATGCGTTTATAAACGTAACGACCGCCCATGTGCATGTAGACGCTGGTGGCTAGAAGATGAGGGCGGTCTTTGGCACAGGCCCGAGATGTTCCGAGATGGCTTTCCAGAAGCAGGTGGACGCTGTCCTCAATGACACACAGTTACCCAGACCTCCAGAGTGCAGCAGAGCAGAAACAAAGGCGAAGAGGCGGGACAGAGTCGAGAGCAGCCGGGACAGGGGTGAAAGCACGGCCATGTTCATGTTAGTCCATGTGTGCCAAGACCCGTGGCCGCCCGGACAAAAAATGCAGCCAGCATTGCGGCGAAAGCACGACTCCAGCATAGATTGTGAAGACATCTCCGGCGAAACGGCTGCCAGACTGGGCGATCTAGGGAACCCCGTCCTCCCTGTGGGACTCTTCTGCAGTTGTGTCCTACCACCGTGAGATCCTCTAGCGAAGCGCTTGCATAAAGAGCACTACTGGAAACCTCCTACATGAGGTCCGCGTCGGTCGGGTTGGAGGATCGCGCCGCATCGCAGATGCATCGCCGATGCATCGGCGATGCATCGGTGACGTCGGCGACGCCATCGGCGCTGTCGGCGTGGGGACAATCGGGCAACACGTCGAGGCGATATGGCGCGATCCTCCGACACCACCTGCTCGAATCCGATCTGGAAGGCCTGGATCTACAACGTCTGTTCGCTGCCTTCGGCCTCCGGGTGCCCTCGCCGAGCCCTGGAAGCGTCGAGTTTTCAGTCGCGACTGACGAGAACGGTTGCTACCGAGTTTGCTTCGAGTTTCGGTATCGGTCGCGACCAATCGGCCGCGACCGATTTGGAATGCCGATCGGTCCCTACCGGTCGCGACAGGAAAAACTCGGTTTCCAATGACCTGGGGGGAGGGGGGCAGGAGGATCCTGGCAGACTACACAGCCTTCGGGGTGGCTGGTCAAGACGGGCAACTTCTCGACGTGTTCGGCCTGCCCGGGCCGCGTCCAGGCCCCAGGGCCGTCACCACAACGATCTGGGGAGGAGGAGGAGGAGGAGGAGGAGGAGGAGGAGGAGGAGGAGAAGAGAGAAAGAGAGAGAGAGAGAGAGACGGAGAGACAGGGTGGCAAGGAGGGGGGAGGACTATGCTCCAGTGGCGCCGCACTCCCTTGCACGACACGCCGCGCGAGAGATCTTCGCACCTCCTCGATGGTGCCGCACTCCCGGAAGTGTTCCTGGACCTTCTCGACCGTCCACACGTAGGGCAGGCCATCGACGAACACGGTCCTGCAGCCCGGGCGGACTCGGAAATCAACGTCCCCCCCCCTTCTCCATCATGAAGAATCGAACTCTATACACCGACGCTTCTTCCGGCCCCGCATTGGAATTTGAACAGGGGAGCGGATCCTGGCGTACACGGGACCCTGGTGTATATGTTTCGTCGTGTACCCGGGACATCGGGGAAAAAAATATACACCACACCACCCCAGCGTCGTCCTCGACCCTCAAGAAGTCCTGCGGTTGAAAGACAGCCCGCCACTGGCAATGTATATGTTCTAGTTTCCGACATCATGCCCCCCTTTTCTGGAACGTTGCCCCTCCCGCGCCCCTTCAAAAACCCATGGTTCTCCCCTGCCCGTCTCCGGCCATCGACCTCCTCCTCCTCATCGTCAGCAGCCTTCATCTTCATCTCCCCAATGTGACTCCTACACTTCCTCATCATCCTGCTTCTCCTCCCCCTTGTTTTTCTTCTCCTCCACCTCCTCCTCCTCCTCCTCCTCCTCCTCCTCCTCCTCCTCCTCCTCCTCCTCCTCTGCCCCTCCCTCCCTCGCCCTGCTACGAGCGGCGGCGGCGGCGCAGCCACCGCAGCCCCCGCCGCCGCCGTCGCAGCCACCGCCGCCGAAGCCGCCGCCGCCGCCGTCGTCGTCGTCGTCGAGGAGGTGCTCCTGTTCACAGCCTGTCGCGCATCCGCGGCGGCGCCGCCACCGGGGGCCGCGGCGGCGCCGCCCTCCTCGGGTGGCCCCTGGCAGGTGGCGCTGGGCGAAGGATCGGTGATCGGTGTGCAACGCTCTCTCCGCTCGGCCAGGATGTGACGCAGAAGGACACGCTAGTCCCTGTGCGACTTGCCTGAGGCCGACAAGGTCGGGGGGGAACGGTAGCGGGACAGCCATCAGGGCAATAGCTTGCATCCATCGACTACCCTCGATTGGCCGATCGGCAAGCCAATAACACGATATGCAAGTCATGTGAATATATGGATGTGTGTATGCATGTCCGAAATGGATCGGGATCGCTGACTGTAGAACGATGTTTACCGTAGCACCCCGCAGATGCGGATAAGAGTGAGGGGGCGGTGGGGACGTCGGCAGTCTGCGAGACTCTGGAGAAGCCCTCCGCAGGCGCCGATTGTTACATTCAACCAATGTGGGTAGGTCGCGGGTGGGTAGCGGGTGGGTCGCACATGGGTCGCAAATGGGTCGCGGGTGGGACGCGGGTGGGTCGCTGTTGGGTCGCGGGTGGGTCGCGGGTGGGTCGCGGGTGGGTCGCGGGGTAGTCGCGGGGGGGTCGCAAGTGGGTCGCGGGTGGGTCGCGGGGGGGTCGCGGATGGGCCGCGGGGTGGGTCGCGGGTGGGTCGCGGGGTGGGTCGCGGGTGGGTCGCGGATGGGTCGCGGGGTGGGTCGCGGGGTAGGTCGCGGGTGGGACGCGGGTTGGGTCGCGAGTAAATCGTGGGATAAATCACGAGGTGGGTCGCGGGGTAAATCGCGGGTGGTTCGCGGGGTGGGTTGCGGGTGGGTCGCGGGTGGGACGACGACAACAAACAAACAACAACAACGCAGCAACACAACAAGCATAATCCTCACCACGAATCCCCACTTCAGCCACGCACCCAGGGACAATGAATGACCATTCGCCCCCCGCACTGTGATATATACAAAGATCCACTTATCGTAAAAAAACATGTATGCGGAATGGTGATGTCCATATATGCGCGTGTGTTCGCCAGCGTAAGCCCAAACATACATGATCTAGCAACATATGTGGTGCTAGTTCGGGAGAGCAGCACAGGTGATTCATTCGATGCGACGAAAATACGCGGTGCAATTATGGTGCAGTATCCGTTGTGCAGTCTACGAGTTGCAGTATAAGGTGTGCACTGCATGGTGTGAAATCTCCGGGGTGCCATCGACGTTGTGCATTACAGGTGGTGCAACCGATGTGCTGAAGTATGTGTGACCTGTATGGTGCACTTGGTTGTAACCAACGAGCTGGCACATCCCACGCTCTTGCAAACATCCAACCCATCCGCCCACAACTTGGTTTGCAAAGCCCATGCGGTGGCGTTTGCGCTGCATGCTTGGCGTTGGTTGGTACATCTCTGCGGCCGCGCCAACCCAAGCGCGCGCGCAGCGGCCAGCTAGTTTGGCGCGACCGACGCGGCCGCGGTGGCGCTGACCGCTGGGCACATCGCAGCGGGCACTTCAGTGCGAGTCGGCGCCTTGAGCGGGCGCGGTACCACGGCAACGTCGACAACGGTAGACACGATGATGATAACAGCGATGCTGGTGACGATACTGAGAAAGACGACGGCAGGGCCAGTCCGGGCGCCGATGCTAATCACGCCGACGCCGATGACGGCGTCCTCGCGTCGGTGACGAAGGTTTTGGAAAAAGTTCGAAATGTGCGCGCGGCCGACGCGCGAGTGGCCCGCATTGTATCATTTGACACGGATCGTGCCCCCCCAGCACGCGCGCAAGGGCGTTCGAATGATGTCGGCATGCGGCTCCAGAGGCCCGCTTGGCAGAATGCCATGGACATGTTGAAAAATCTCGAGTTCTATCCAGAAGTCGCGAGCGCGCGAGCGCACGCTTTTTTGACAACTGATGTTGCGAAACCAGATTTGTTGATATGTGTTTGGGACACTCGGTTTTGAAATCGCTACGAAACCGGCATGCGCGGATGGCGGATTTCGGCAAGCGTGCGACGACGCGCGCGTGCGCACTTCGTTCCACTTGTTTCGAAGCATTCTCGCGACGGCATTCGCGCAAAAGGCGTCCGAACGATTTCGACATGCGCGCGCGAGAACTATTTAGCAGCATGTTTTGAACATGTGGAACAACTCATCGTTTTCTTAAGACTTCGCAAGAATGCGCGCAAGCTTTGTTTGAAATTCCGTGTTGCGAAACCCTGTGGTTTTTGTGTTTGGGACACTCGATGTTGAAACCCATACGAAAACAGCGGTTTCGGCATGCGCGCGCGACGACGCGCGCGTGTGCTCTTCGTCTCATGTTTGCAAGGGGTGTTTGACAACTCGTGATATTTGGTCAGCGAAGCGCGCATAGTATTCTGCAGAGGATGGCATGGGGGCCGGTACCAGTTCCCCTGGGATGGTATGAATTCGTACTTAGGATGGACGATGGGGCAGAATCATATGCAAATTGCAATACGAAAAAGAGAACCGATAATCCAAGGGGGGGTAGGGTCTATTCTGATTTCTAGATACGAGAATATAGGTTGCGCAACCTATGTCGTGCAACCAAATGTCGTGAAGCCCATGCTGGTGCAAAAATTGTAGTGCGATGTATGTTGCGCAATGTATGTGCTGCAGTAAATGTGGTGCAATTTGTATGTGCCATCGCCACTGTGGCTCCAAGGCCTTATCGGGACACCACTAGACTCGACGTGGTCAAAGGCCAGGCTGGGCGGGCTGCGCGCGGCCGGTGCCGCACCGCAGACCGCGATGGCGGACTAGCGGTGCATCGGGAAGAGGCGGTTTCCCTGGCGATGCAGGCTGGGCTGCCAGCTGGCGGAGGCCGCTGGTGTCACTGCTGCGGAGCGGCGGTGTGGTGGTCGCCCGCCTCTGCGAAACCGCCTCACCGGGGCGGCGTGCGCTGTGAGCTCCTCGCGCTCCTGCGGAGCGCGCCGAGCGCTCGGGCCGAGGTGCGGCGCGGAGCCGCGGGCCCGCCGCGGCACGAGGCTCCGCGCCCTGGAGCTGGCGCCAGGCGCGTGGGCGTCCCACGGCGGTGGCTCGCCAGCGCCGTCGGCGCTCGGGGGGCGGCCCGACTGCCCTGGAGTCGGCGGGGCAGGCCCCGAGGTGCCCGGCCCCGCAGGGCGCCCTCGGGGAGGCGAGGACCCTGAAGGACAAGCTCGAGGAAAAGAGGCCCCCCGCAGGAGCGTGGGCAGGGCGGCCGCAGGCGCGGCGGGTGGCTGGCAGGCATCCCAGGCGCCCGGCGCTGGGGCCCGAGGCCGAGCGTCCAGGCCCTGGCGCAGCGGCGCTGCCGGGAGCTGGGCTGCGGAGCCGTCCGCAGCGCGAGCGGCGGCGAGGGCAGCGACGAGGAAGGCGCGCAGGGCTGCAGCCTGGCGCGCGACGCCGAGTCCGAGGAGGAGGCCCTGGAGAAGAAGGCCGAGGTCGACTGGCGGGTCGACGACGACGCATGGCAGGCCAGGGGGGCAGGGCGAGCCAGTGCCCCTGCAGGAGGAGGGCGCGGTGCTGATGGCAGGCCGTGGCAGCGCGCTCCCTCCCAGGACCCTGGACGACGAGGATGACGCCGACGAGGGGCGCGACAACGTCGACGGCGTGGCCGAGGAGCACGAGGGCGACGTCCCCGACTGCGAGGGCAGCGACGCCGCCGCCGACCTGGACTGCTCGGACGGCGACCCTGGTGGCCGCGACGGCACGACCCCCCTTCAGAGCCCAGACCCTCTGGGTGTGCTGGACGGCCTGCTCGCCCCGAGGATGAGGGCGATCGAGGATGAGCTGGAGGCGATCGAGGATGAGCTCGCGGCAGGCGCCGTGGACGACGCCTTTGGCAGGCTCATGCAGTCGGCCATGCCAGAGCTGGACGGAGGCGCCGTGCAGCTGGACAGCGAGCTGGGCAGCTAGTACGTGGAGTTGTGGATGCCATGACAATGGACACTCTAACAATCCGATCATTGGATTAAAAATATGCTAAAAAGTGTAAAACATGTTCTAAACATGTTCCGAAACTGTGTTTTACATATTAAAAGCATGCTTGAAATATGTTGTAGACATCTGGAAATCATTTGGTAGCATGCTTCCTCTCCACTAATCGACTTCCACACACGTGGAGGCGCTGTGGGCCCAGTTCACGGGCGGCGTGCTCGCGGGGGCAGGGAGGCAGGGAGCCTGGCCTGCGATCGCCAGGCGCAGCGAGCCCCTGCTTGGGGGCTGAGCCGACGCGAGCGGCCAGCCCGGAGCAGGAGGCGAACGCCCGTGCGCAGGGCGGGCGCAAGCGGGGCAAGGAGGAGTTCTGGAGGGAAAAAAAACACACAGACACAATGAGTCGTCGATTCCCCAGGGAAATATGGGAAAATATGGAAGTGGGGGGGAAGGCGAAAACCCAGAAAATGTGAGAAAACATGGGGGATCCGTTTATTTGTCTGTTTTTTTTTGTGTCCCAGGGCCCCTTCAGGAGTCCTGAGGGAGTGCCTGGAGGCGCAGACCTCGAAAGTGATGTGGCCGAGGGAGCGCCAGCGGGCGCAGAGCTCGAAGTAGTCTGTGCAGCCTTGCTGGCACGCTTGTTCGTTACTGAATGGTCGTCGCTGCGCGACGGCGGGTGCAATGTCTGCATTACCAGGGTAATTTTCCGTCTCGGAGGCGCGCTTCCGAAAGAGCATCCACAACAATGCTGGCTACGCCGGCTACGCACAGGCGCGGGCGTGCTCGCTAGCAACGCTAGCAGCGAGAGCACCCACAGAGATATCGACTGACCATCGTGGCTGGAGCCGTCCACCGAAAGACATCGACCCTTGGCGTATAGTAAGTCGGTAGCAAAACTGCAATATACGGGGTTGTACAGTGTATGTTGTGCTACCTATGTCATGCAACACTCGTGGTCAGACCGATGCTGTGAGCGATCATGGAGCGCGCCGCAGGCGCGAACAAAAAATCATTGCGCGATACATCTGGTGCAGTCCAACGGCGGCGACGGACGGCGACGAGGCGGCGACGGGGCGGCGACGGCCGGCACCGAGCTGCAGGACCGACAGGCAGGCCCAGGTCTTTAAACCAGAAGAAAGAGCCCCTAAGTGCAAGCACGGTCCAGGGAATAGATCGAGACCACGACCCATCCATCGACATCACCACACACGAATCGATCCAGCGATCTATCAATCGATCTCTCTCTCTCTCTACGCGAACCCCCATTGCAGGCACACGTCCGACCTGAGCACACAGCAGAAAGACCATGATGTACACCGCAGATCGCTGCCCCGGCGGCGTGAAAACAAATCGCCCGCTGCCGAACCTGTACCACGAGATGTCTGAGCTCGCGCGTCGCCCTGGGAGGGCCGACGCACACACCATATTACGATGTTTGGGTCGACCCCCTCGCGTCGTGAATGACTACCTACCAGACCACCCCAACCCAACCCGAAGACCCGAATTTGACCCGAATTTCGGGTTGGGGGGGGTACGGGTTCCATGTGTTTTTTCAGTGTTCCCCGACCCCCCCCAACTGGAAATGGAGGGCAAATCGAAGCCTTCGGGTTGGGTTGGGGAGGTTTGGTAAGTGGTGACTGAAGAAACAACGGGCAACGGCGGGCAAAGTTTCTAAGTCTGGGGGCCTTGCTGGGCCCCCGCGAACCGTGAAACAACGATTCCGGATGGAAGGCCGCCCGCGCTGAAAGGGTGGAGACCTGTGGGTGTCGACGTTGTGAAAACGATAGGCGTCTGGGTAACTCCCTCCCCGCTCGACCAGGACGGCGTTTGCATCGGTCCTGGGCCCAGAATTAGCATGACAAAGATCAGTGCCATGACTTGTGCTCTTCGACCCCCTCCCCTCTCCCTTCGGAGGCCTCCAAGCGTTTGCGCCCCCTCTCCGAAGTCCAGCGTTTGATGCTGAGCTGGTTTTTGTCACTGTCCCAGGGTCAGGAAACAGCCCCCAGAGAACGAAAATTTCGAAAACCCAGCACCCCCTAGCTTTCTGAGCGACGAACAATTCTCTCAAGGCCCAGGTTCGGGGCGATCAAAATTTGTTTCTGGATCTGTCCCGGATGAGTTTCGGCGAGAACTTCGGCACGAATGAGACAACGGCCAAGAAAAACCTCCCTGGGCTCCACTACAGCAAAAAGGCACCCAGACCCCCGACGTCACATGTCTCCCAGATCAGTGGGTACCAGATATTTTCGGTCGCGATCGGTAGCGACCGATGGGCACTCCAAATTGGTCGTCGCGACCGGTTCCGGAATCTGAAGCAGAATCGGTGGTGAACGATCACGTCGGCTGCGACTGGGCAATTCCATGGACAGTCCAGTGGGGAGGGCACACTCTCCGTACCGAACAAGAGAGGGCGACGTGGCGGCGTGCCGAAAGGGGGGAGCGAGAGGGCCGCCCACAACCTTCGATTACCCCTCTTCACCCTTGTCGTCCAGAGTTCGCCCAGGCGTCGTCTAGACTTCGTCATGGTGTCGATCAAACCCGACGAACTCCGACCCACGCAAGGTGGAGGACAAGTCGGCGGCGCGCCGAGGCGAGAAACGAGGGAGCCGCTCACAGAGCCCGCCCGAAGGCGCCTCTTCGGCGGCAGCTGGCGCCTCCGCCTGCGGCACTTGTCGAACCGGATCGATCCGCAAGGGCCCCAGGGCCTCGAGGTAGGGCGACGGGGCCAGGCGAAGCAAGCTCTTGCAATGTGCTCCCATGCTCCGCGTTCTCTCCCTTCGCTTCCCCCATTTCGTCTCCTTGTTTCCCGCGCGCGCACACCCCTGTGCACGCCGCTGCATGTGTTTAACTGTAAGGTGGGAGCTTCTCGACGAACCCCAAACTTCCAGGTGATGAAACTTCCATGTGTTGTATATTGCTGTTCTGCGATTGCGAAACCTATGTGGTTGCGAGACATGTTGAACAGGAGTCCGACTGGAAGACTCCGATTGCAATGAATGTCAATTCTTTCCCGAACAAATTGAAAGACCAGCAACATGTCCCATCAAAATACATCTCACGCAGGCTGTCGCGGATTTCGGGCGTTCTTGAATGTGGCTCGCGCAAATGATGGCAACGCTGTTGGCTGCGGCATCAAGTGCATGAAATCTGCTCAAGCCGCGGCGTCGCGGCGCCGCGCGGGCGAAGGCGGAGAGGGGGCGAAAGCCCTCCGAAGACGTCGCAGCGTCGCGGCATCGTGCCGCCCCCGCGCGAGCGGCGAAGGAGGAGCGGCGAAAACCCTACAAAAATGTCGCGGCGTCGCAACATCGTAGTGTCGCCGCGCGGGGGCGAAGGCGGACGGGACACAACTAACAAGTGAGCAACTAAGCAATAGAGCCCCCGAGAACGCGCAGCGGGCAGGCGTGATTGCGCCTTGGCGACGCACAAGGAAAAGTCAACAGGTTTGCTTTGCGCTCGTTTGCGCGGGGGGGGGGCGGACGCAGCGCGCGCAGGGCGCGCGCGCCCACCCCCCACCCCCCCCCAAAAAAGGCCGCATCCGCCCTCTGAGATCTCGGCACCTGCACGCCCGCACCCTGGCGGCCGCGCCCGCCCTCGACGCATAGCGCGGGACCCCGGGCCGCCCGCGATTCCTTTTGGGCACGCGCTGAAACGAAGGGCGCACTCCTCGAGGGCACCCGCCGATCGCAGGACGACCTCCAAAACTCCGGCCACGCAAATGAACAATCTCCAGGCGCTGGCAGAACAAGACACACTTGTCTTTGGTGCGTGCGTAAACAAATTGGTGCGGGAACCGATTGTCGTTGTATTGGCGCGTGCAATCACGTATGGCCATACGCCAGTTTGCTCAAATCGCATCACACACGCAGCGGGCAAATATTGGTTGGTCAATCGCCGTTTCACCGGTTTGCGTGCAATCCGATAATCGTTTTCACCCAACCGATATGTACGGTTTCGCTGGTTTCGTCAGAAGCCAATCAGCGCCTGGGCCAGCGACATCGCCATCGCGTCGTTCCAGGCTTTGGAAGGCTTGGGCCTCGGGCTTCTCCCGCCACATCCCACCTGCCGCCAAGGATGGGCAGCCGCCGCAACTCCCGCCCTGGAAGACAGATCTCCAAAGGAACTGATGGCGACGAGTCTCGGGCGCGACTTCTGGAGGGCAAGACTGCGCTGGACATGCCGCTCATGAGTGATTTTTCCCAAGCGCCGATGAACACTGTACCACCATTCGTCACTTCGTGCAAATATTGGGCCCCATCTCGGCGGGCAAGCTGCGGCCACAGGCAGAGCAAAGGGGTTGGACTGTAGATTTCCGCGTCCACCCAACCAACGCCACAAGAGGAGAATATCTACCCTGGCCCACACGGCGGCAATTGAAAGGGGAGCAAAGGAGGAGGAGGGCGACGACGAGGAATGGGCAGCGTGGGCGCCAAAAGGCCTGCACGCACGCTAACAAGTTGAACTACAGCGGCGGCCCGTACTAGGGGCAGCAAGAAAGGTTATCGGTATTGCATCCAGCGGGTGATGGAATATTTCCCCCATCCCAATCACGCAGGAGAGAGGCTGGAAAAGGGGGGATGCACGAGAGAGACACACAGAGAAAAGCGAAACACAGCATATAACTAAAATGACGCGCCCGGCAGGCCCGCGAGCGCGGATGGCATATAGCAGAGCTAACAGAGTGGGCGCGAGGTACGCGGCAGAATCAATATGAGATAAGGCGGCCATGGAGAGGCCGAGCCCGGGCGGACCTAAGAGAACCAGGGCGGCCCACGGGGTCGGGCAGTGCTGGGCGAGGAAGCGGCCTCGGCCCGCGCGCAGGCAGCGCCACCGCACCAGTTGGGGGAGAAGAGCGAGGAGGGGAGAAGAGAGGAGGGAGAGGAAGAGGAGGGAAAGGGGAACACTCACTGGATGTCGGCGTCGTGAGGCGGAACTCCGTCGCGCAGAAGTGGCCCGGCGAGCTGAGCACCACGGTGCTGATGGTG